CACCGAATTTGTGGCCCTTTTTTTTTTTTTTTTTTTTTTTTTTTGTTACTGTGTAGTGTTTTTTTTTTAATGTTGTTTTCTCCAATGAATGTGCCAAATGTATTGTGGTAACTCAGCCAAGCTTGTTGTTCTTTTTTTTATTGTGCCTGATATTTGCCAAACATAACATGAGTGAGCTCGGCTTCCACGCGGGGTTCAAAGAAAGGCCAGACTCCAAACTATCTCCCGTTCTCGTTTGACGACGTCGAAATATCCAGCGAATGGTTCATGGATCGTGCTGTTACGTGGCTGCGTGCCAATTCAGAATTCCTTGCTGTGGCGTGGAGGAAAAAACAACAAAACTACAAATTGTTTGAGTTTAAAACAAAATCTGAAAAAACAAAAACTCGTGTTACTTTTGGATACATGCTTTTCATTAGACAGCTTTTTTTTTTTTAATTTTAACGGGTGCCTTTATCGAACTTGCACCAACGCTCTCCGTTCTTAGTTCTCCAGTGACATGACACCACAACAAATATGCGACACTGGGTTGCAAACTTGCAGGATATTGAATTTTTCCTTTATACTTGCCAGTGTTTACATCCACTCTTGAAAAACACATTTGCTGGTTTGAGAATCCAAATGATGGGCAGCTAATAGAAGAAAGAAAAAAAAAAAAAAACAATTCAATATCCAAATCCTTTTTTTTTTTTTTTTTTAAACGTGACGACTGAGCGAACAAAAAGGGTTTTCTTGCTTGCTTTTGGACCAGATTTACATTTGTTGCTGCGGTCCACGCCATGTTCTCAAATGCACCAGAAGTGGTGCCTGCTACCATGCACAAAACGTCCACACAAAAGAACTGCATTCATTAAAGGAGAAGCTGATGGAGGATAGGTTTTAAAGTTGATTTAAAGATGTCATTTCATATAAGGGGGGGAAAAAAAGCATTTGCACACTTCATAAAGTGGTCAACTCTTCTTTCACTTTGCAGAAGGCTAAACGACTGCATCGTCTCCTGAAATTCTGCGTCAAACCACCATTCTCCCCCCCACTCCCCCTCCAAGTGGTTTTAAGTTGGCCATTGTGCTTGAAAGGAGGTTAAAAACACACATCACGTATTCTTCCACAAAACCGTCCTCCCATTTGGAACAAAAGACACACTGGGTTTCTGCCACAAATTGGTTTCTCTATCACCGGTCATCAAATGCTGACCCCCTTTTCTTTACGATTTATGTAACGAAACAATTAAATCAACACGGTCTACTCAGAAAGGAAAACTAACGCCAGAATCCGACGTCGGTTGCCAAAAGGTCACGAGCTGTCAAGCGAGATGACATTATTTCATGACGCTTAACGTGCATTTTGGGCTGAATAACCACATTCGTGTGGCAAGACTACTTGTCATTTGATTCCTCGAACTTTATTGACGATCGAATTATCGATGTTCCCAAGAACCATCGAGTTGGGCTGGCGGATATTTTATTATTTTTTTGGAGCAATCAGCAACGCTTGTTAAATGACAGAGTCCATTGTGCTGGAGCGAGACTTTTCTACATGGCGTCATCAAGGGCAGGCGAGTGGATAGAGAAGTCGGGATGAAACGTGGATTGTGGACAAGCGCAGAGGCTGAAAGGAGTGTTCGCGCTCTAAACAGAGAGCACGTTGTAGGAGAAGCGTCACTCTCTGCTGGAACAACCAGTTTTCACTGCCGAGCTTCCTGGCGAGTGTCCACTGACTTTCCAATTATTTGGGCCTCACGGGGTCTTTTCTCAACTCATCTGCATGGATAAATGAACAGGAACCCAGAGAATTGAAGATTAACTATACATTAAAATTTTTAAAAAAAGGGGCTAGGGGGGCTCAATTTAAATCACTGAAGTCACCATCGGGGTCGTTGGCGAGAGTTCCATGAAGAAATGTCATGTAGCAGCTATTCCCATGCAGTACGCACAAAGCAATATCGTCTATGATGTGAGTAGATAGAGAAACTATTTATGTTCAATGTACTATTGATGTTAAGAGCATTAGCCAGTGAATAATGCAGCGGGGGTGGGGAACCTTTTTTTTTTTTCTGTAAATTGACAACCAAAAATCGCATTTAACAATGGATTTAATATTTGTTTTATATACTCTGAGCATGTGTGGACGAAATGGAGCTTTTTTGATAGCAATCCCTCTGATGGGTTTCATTTGGTTTGAGAATTTCACAGCCTGGGTCAAAGGTGATCACGGGCGATTGGTTCCCCACCTCTGTGAAGAGATTTTTGAATATATTTGACCAAAAAGAAGAAGAAGAAGAAGAAGAAAAAAAAAGCTATTGTTAAATTGACACTTAGTGAGAATGGATGTGTGTAATTATATCGTGAGTGCGGCCTCCTCGCCGTTGCATTGTGTGGAGGAATGCAGCGCGCTGTTTTCTTTCCATGACTAAATGAAGCCATGTAATTACAACCTCACATATTCAATATGTCATTGGTCGCATCCTCTTGACTGTGTTTGTCTTTTTTTGTTTTTGTAATGAACAGATGGATTCATGCTCTCCCTCATTCCCACCCCCTCACTTCTACACTTTGGTGGTAGCAGGAAAATAATCCTCCTGTGTGAATCCTATAGATTTTTTTTTTTTTTAAAGAATATTAAACAGTCCCTTCTCCGAGAACAATATTGTTTATATTTTTACAAAACTGGAGGGTGGAATATGCCTCATCTTCCTTCTCGGCTCCGTGTTGGACGCGGTCCAACATCAGCAGCCATTTTGGTGCCAAACTGGGTTGCAGGGTTGGCTGATCAAAAACAATATGCGATGAAAACTCCAAATCACAGCGAAAAAAAATAATAATAATAATAATGTGACCTCAGTCTGCTTGCGAGTGGAAGGCAGCCGTATGCTAATGTTTGTGTTTTAATTGTCCGACTGGGCTTGTGTGTAGATAGTTCAGGCTACTCACGGGGTGGCTTCAGGGATCTCGTGGCTATCTAGGCCAGTGTTTCTCAAAGTGTGCTAACCCCCCACCCCCCACCCCCAAAAAAGGACTTATCAATTTCAAACCTGCACAACCTTTGAAGTTCAGCCAGTCCACTGGATTCTGTTGGGAGTAGTTACCAATGGTTTTGGAGGAGTAGGTGCCAAGCAGTGCTTTTCCTGAGGGGGGTAAAAAAAAAAAAAAAAAGTTTGAGAAACACTGATCTAGGGCAACACTATGGTGTTCACACGCGCACTGTTTTTTTTTTCTGTTGTGTTGTGTTTCCTTTTCATGGCAGTATATCCACATGTTTGCATGTGCACGGAAACATTCCCAAGCGCTGCCTGCCCGATGGTGTGGGCGGTGTTCATTTCTTTATTATGCATGAAAATACAACGGGTGGGAATAATGGGATACAAACCATTCCAAGTTGGACAATTTGAGACGCACACTGGGATAACTGTTCCGTTAGGTTTTTTTTGTTTTGTTTTGTTTTTTAAAGAAAAACAAGAAGTCTTGTTTGACATGTCGTGGATGTCTTTGGACAATTTTCATGTTTCTATTACCTTACAATAAGGTCCTTTTATGACGAGCTGAATATTGAAATGAATTTTACTCTATCCTTGTTTACTTGTCATGCAAATGTTTTGTCATTTCTATGTAAGTACTTGAATAAAGAAAGATACCGCATACTGAGCATTTGGTCCACTACACATCCATTTATCCACTTTTTTTTTTTTTGTATCGCTTATCCTCATTAGGGTCTCGAGGCACAAATACGAGATGATCAGAAAAGTTCCAGGACTTGTGTCACAAAAGATACATTTTAAATCGGAATCATCTTTATTGGCTGATTATGTTAAAACACACAAGGCATTTATCTCTGGTAGTTTGATCCAAACTACAAGTTTTTCCCTTTTTTGAAATCTACCCAGCAGTCTAATGCATTTTCCCAGCCTTCATGCATTCCTGGAAGGATTCTTATGAGCAGCTCCGTCCTCCACGTCTTCAAAACAGGACCCCTGATGATGCCCTCAACCTTGTGAAGAGGGTTGGGGAGTAGGATGACACAGCGCCAATTGCCAATTCTCGTGAGCGGGGAGGTTGGTCCAGCATGACAATGTTCTTCTTTGCCAGGAAATGCCAGATGTTCAAGGCATTGTTAGCAGGTACATTGTCCTTCCAACATTCTCACTTCTTCTCTCAAACTGCGTATAACAAATGCCACAGGGTCTATTTGAAGATGTGGTGGTGGATCGTCTGGTCACCATTGTCTCGAGGGGAAATGTCATAGTTTGAAATATATCTTCAGTGACGCCAGTCCAGGAACAGACACTGCTTTGAACAAACAACCATTTACATTCGTGCACAAAACCAAAACGATTCATGCCATGGTAAAAATTAAAGGTTATATCATTTGGGTGAATTTACAAGTTTGAGTCGCGGTGCTTACTTTGGAGGAAACCCAAGCGGCTGATCCTCCAACTTCCTGTTCCATGCCCCGTAGTTTGGCCGTGAGGGATGAGTTCCTGGGAAGAAAACAGAGTAACTCTATGAAATTGGATTAAAAATTCAAGCAAACATGAGCTGGTAAGTCGCTTTTCCACCCCAATTCGAACGATTGGATTGTGGTCAGTCTTAATACAACCCGAAACGACAAATTAAAGTAAGCCGAGCCGGGCTTAGGCTATTTCCTGGTAGCTCTAACAACTTCAGGCTAAGTTAGCGCTAGCTTCTACGAAAGATTTACACGCCGTTTATATATTCTGTATAACTTCACATATTCTGCTAGTAGCTGTCGTGTGGATAGCTAAAACAATGTAACTCCGGGGGACCACTTTATTAATTAACAATGTGAAAACAAGTTCGTGCTAAGCTAACTCGGCTTTGCTACACAGACGAACTGAGGAATAAGCCAGGATACGTGTCAGTTCATGCATTTCAATTTTATTTTTCATTCTGTGCTTGGTATTACCATGACCTTAATAAAACGTTCAACTTAACAAGCAAGTGAAGTCGTAAACAGCTCTCGTCATCTGTTTACATTAGTGCAACTGTTCCTAGCTCTCGTTAGCACGCTCGTCACAGTAACGCTGCACATATGATTGCAGTAATAGTTGTATTTATATCATTATATCGATTTCGTATTGTTATCATTAGTCAATACACAATCGACCTGGCGTTGAAGAACGTTACCGACTGAAAATAGTTTAAAAGTGAAAATAAAGTAGGTAAAGTAGGGCCAGGTGGGAAAAGGAAGTTGGTGTATCGATATCCGGTACAAAATAAAATGTCAGCAAATAGTGTTCGACACACAATTCGGTACACTTGTATAACCCAATGAGACGCTGTATCCAAGAAACTCACACTGTGACCTACAATAGCATGGACCGAGAGTAGGAATTTCCGAACATTTGTGCTGGCTTTTCTCTTAACCTTGTGACCATGGGCATACAGTTTTAAATTCTATTTCATTTGATGCGGTTTTCATGTCAGTGTTTTATTTACATACGTACTTTCACATTTATTTTGTATGTTTGAAGAAAACGGGTGTGCTCTAGCTTAAAAACCTGACGTGAAAGAGGAAAAAATAGTTTTGGATTCTGCATCAAAAAAAATTGTTAAAAACAGCTGATGGACTAAACTGAACAAATGGACAAAAGCACATGGATTAATTTTAGATAGATAGATAGATAGATGTCCAACCATATGTTATGTTCATGAATGCAGCTTAAGGATTCAATGGGAGCAACATTAACAACCCTTTACATCCTCGGATGTATCCACACACAATCACTTTTTATGACACTTGGCACATTGTTGGTGTAAAACGGAAGGGCGATGGCTATCGAGCAATCAAGTGACATGGCGTCATTCGGTTCAGTCGGCATCAATGGCTGGCAAGCGACGCTTGGGCCAGCACGCACGGCCAAACACAAGGTCAAGAGTGGGGTGAAGCCGCCGTGAAAAGAGGTCTTTATGGACTCTGCTGAGGGCTGCATTCCAGCACAGCCCGCACACTTGCTCCTCTGACGTGACAGCTTTGACTTTGGGGTCACCGGCGGAACAATTCGGCTTCCCACCATCTTCAACCGGCGCTCTGTGCTAGCTGCAAGAGGCGAGGTCGCCATTGGCTCTCGCAGCCCGTGTATGATACTCCAGAAGACTGTCACATCTTTGTTCATGCCTACGTGCTTTTGGACGGCGGTGACGTCGTGCCCGTTGCAATAAATGTTGAGTGCGCACTTTGAACACATTGACAGTTCAGTTGAAGGACCCGACTTCATCCCATTGAGTTCTCGCGATGCCGTGATCACATCAACAATACTAGAACCTTTAACACCGCCTGCAAAATTGGACGTTTTTTCTCACCGTTTTTCTGGCACCCACACATTATGGAGGGACAAAGCTGGCAATGTTACACATTCAGAGGTACGATCAAAGTTTTAAAAAAAAGTCCTATTCTTTTTTTCTGTAACTTTGAACATAAATTGTACATGTGAAAGGAGCAGCAACAGTCCCATTGTCTCAACATTGGTTGGAATTAAACTTGTAGTACATCTTCAAAATATCACCACACCATCATGAAAACAATACCCAATTGACATCAGCAAAATACACTCATTAACGTTTCTGTAATAACTGTTAGCGTAATAGTGATAGAATAAATACCTGAGTGGACACTTTCCTTCTTGGCTTTCCTTAGGGGAAGCAGTTATTCCCCCCCAAATAGATAATAAGGTCATCATTGAGCAATCATTTGGCATTGCTACTTTGTACTCTGATAATCGTCTTGTTGGCTGCGATGTGTGTGTCAGTTTTTTTAAATCGTTTTTTTTTTTTTTTCTTTTTGATGTCATCAAATGGAAATCTACCTCACGTGTGATTTTGCATTCCTTCCTGGTTGCACAACGCGGCCCTCCATCACACCCTCTCTTTTCCATCTCATTAGACTACACACCTTTCTTTTGACGCAGCTGCTGCCTCACCCTGCCTGTCAGACACAACTGTCCATCATATCGCTTAGATTCCAGCCCATTAGCGCTTGTATCAATGACAACCCGGCAGCTAGCGCTTTGGTAAGGCACTGTTGGCTTCTCAAAGCACTCTGATGCTGCGGAGGTACTTATTAAAGCTAGCGCTCAGGGTTTGAAATGGGGATAAAAGAGTGTGTGTTTTAACTAAGGGCGAATAGTGTTCTGCCAAAACTCGGGTGGGGGTGGGGGGCTCAGACTTTATCCAACAGTGTAGAAAAGTTTTAGTTCACATGTTATGTACTCAGCGGCACAGAATGACTGGCATTTATGAAGAGGTGCGGGGTTAATTAGACAACCTTGATTGCGCCAAGGCACACATTTCACGTAAGAAACATGTCACCGCATTTTACAACCGTTTTAACCGGTCGGCATTCTTTATTGATGGCACTGAAATAGAAATGGCGGACAAAGTCGTCCCGCCAATATTTTTAGCACCAGACGTCGGTTGGGTATGCGAAGCAGGGGAAAATTTGCATGCACCTTTTGCGTTGATGCACCGAAGAAAAGAAAAAAAAAGTTGGGCGCACCAGTGCAAAAAGTTAGTCGAGAGCCCTGTCATTTGTAAAGCCTTTGAAGGTTGAAATTCTATTATGCCGTGGCATTTTTACAGATACATGAGGTCGTTACTTTGGAAACAGACTTGAGTTTCAAGAGATACTTTTCAAAGAGCTGCGAACACCCTGTGCAGCAGAGCCCGAACACTATCACCTCTTGCGGGTCTGCTGTCACTATTTTCCATGGTGTCTGTGTTTAGTTTATGGGATTTAGCACTGGTCTGACAGTCGTCTTCCTCTATGAACATACAATTGTCAGCAAAGGTAATCCATTAAAGTCTGCCAGAGTGAGCGTGGGAGTGCGAGTGAGAGTGGGAGTATCGGGTACATGTTTCATGAATTCAATGTACATGGAAATAACAGCTTTAGGTTGTTCTTATGAGAGGTCCCAATTCCTGTTCAGACCTTCAACTTGCACTCTCCCACCCGTCATGCAACTGACGACAGATTGGCATCGTTTATTCATTTCAGGATTCCCTTCAAGATCGGGCAGCCCAAGAAGCAGATTGTCTCCAAAACTGTAAGTAGCCGCAAGAACCGTACCTACCGGCAGTGTGTGTATTTTACGAGATGGTCATTTACCGATAAAATATGCTCGCGCTGCAAAAGACTAAGTCGATGGTGATTGACCCGAGCCTTATAATTGTCCAGAGATGGTTTCCTTGAAGCAACCAGAGTAGGTGTTCCTACTTGCCCTGTAATGGAACTCTGGTCCAAGAAATCACCGGCAGCTTCCTGTTTCGTTTTAGACAAGATCAGGAAGCGGCTCTGCGGCTGTCCCTTTGTCAACCACCTCCCTTGTTCGGGCCGCCGTATTTCCATCCAAAGGCCCACAATGACCACAAGTTGGGAAGCCAAACTGCCACTCTGTATAAACGACCCTTTCTAGCCAATGCCTTGCCCAAGAGCACTGGATTAAAATGAGCAAACGCAAGCCCCGTTAGAACCGACAAACAACTCTAAGCATGTAATGATGTCGAGTTGGTCCAAATATCCTTCCTCAGATTTACGTGTACAATGGAAATTCAGCCCTAAAATGAATTTCCCGGCTAGTGAGGTTAAAAATGATTTTTTTTTCTTTTCTTTTCTTACACTGTATGCTCAGACTTTGTGCTGAGCCATCTGCTGTGATCTCATCATTCAAATGCTGTTAAAAAAATGACATGACTGATTTTTAAAATTTTTATTCCAGGTTGAAAGAGACTTTGAGAGAGAATATGACAAGCTGCAAAAGTAAGTAACCATTTGAAATGAAGATTCATTTCTGAGTTTCCACCCCCCCCCCCAATTTAAAATGAGTGAACTTTTTACACTGTATTTGCTCCAAAGTTTACTGACGTTGCAATTGAAAACTGGACTCTTCAGGTTTTTCCAGCATGAAAATTAGAATTCACAAAGTATCTTTTTCTTGTTGTTGTCGTTACCAGTTGTTTGAAACAATCCGTTTTTGGCAACAGAAAAAAAAAAATATCAAAGATCCACATTTCAAAATGTTTAAAAATGTTTACTGACCGCAATACTGTGGCTGTAACAATGGCACCCATGAATCCTTAAATCGTACACCCTAGATTCTTTCGATTTAAATCAACAAAACACTGATGTTTTGTTTTGGGGGTTTTTTTGGAGTGGGGGGGGGGGGATTCCTGAATACCCAAGAGCAGTTTGGAACCAGAAATTCCATCAGGGTCTAGTGGAATCAATGGAAAAGAAACCGAGTCGGAGGACCCTTCATCAGTTAGGTGTGGTGCCGATAGACCTCACACATGAGTCAGAGGAGCAGGCTTGGACTGGCATTTTGGTGCTCCACCCTACAGATGCTTATCTTTGCATCAAGGCAAATCTTTGTCATAGAAAGCAGTGATTTCACCGAGGCTCTGGTCGCTGGTCAGGCCCGTGTTGAGCTGCGTTATTGTTTTACGAGGTATGATTAGTCAGTAATGGATGTGACATTACGTTTTTGCCCTGTTCTTGTTTGCCCTTTTCTTTTTCCGAAGAATAAATTACACTCTTGTTCAGACACACACCCTGTCAGGAGAGTTCTTGAAAAGAAAGAGATTCATTGTCATTTCAAAAAGATGTTGTCGAACCGGCAGTTTTATCATTCCCCCACGATTAATTGAAAGATTTTTGCAATTTATTTTGAAGAAAGAAAAAGAAACCCTGACAATGGTAAAATATGGTGGATTTGTGTTGTCGATTTTCCCAAAAGTATTTTTTTTTTTATAGGAAAGTTGCAGCTTGATGGAGGGTAAGATTTAGGGCAGTGGGTCAAGCAGCAGCAGCTGTTCCATGAGGCCAAGCTATTAGCACCTTTTGGAATACGCTTCAAGCCTCACCTGACTCTCCTCACCCGCGCTCGTTCGCTCTCCGTTCGGTGCAGAGTGCCGCAAATCAACGACAACAGCGCTGAGGGAGAGAGCCATTGTCAAGCCAAACACAAATTCATCAAGTGAGCCAAGCGAGGATTGGAAAAACACATGCTGGCTTGTTTACAGGGTGAATTGCTTTCGAAAATGCATCACCACGAGGATGTCAATCAGTCGATCCTTGCTAACCATTTTTAAGAACACTCGGTGAAGTTTTGTTTTGTATTTTTTTAATAAAAAGAAATTCCTCCGTTCGCAGCAATAAGGGGTAATGTGGTGTGTCCAATCCTCGCAGAACACACAGGAAGCCGCTCCGCAATGACCAGATACTGATTAAATCCTGCCAAAAGTATTGCTAATAATGTTGGCTGTAGCGTTTTGCCGGAATCACAAAAGCACATTTCTGACTATGAGAAAACGAAGCTTGTGATTGCTTCAGAGGACATCTGATGCAGCCCGCGAGACCCACTTGCATCTAATTGGTGCGAGTGATATAAGAAGTTACTGTGGAGATTGTTCTGACAGAGTTGCGCCGTGAACAATAAAGCGCCACGTTGCATCATTTGTCGCGCATGACATTTTTGGAACAAACCTCCATCTGGTCGCCGCCGATTCTCTGTGAAATCCTTGAAAACGTCAAGAGGCTCAAAAGCGTGTTATGATAGGTATTAATTAATGAATTCTCCCTACCTCTTAGTCCACATGTGTCAAACAGATGGCCTGCGGGACACATCTTGCCCACGCTGTCAAAAAAAAAAAAAAAAAGTCCAGTCTGCTGCACGATGAGACTATTAATAATTATTATTGATGCACGTGATTCACAATGTGCGACACGTTTATGGTAGCAAAAGAAAAAATAAACTTTGAGTTGAAAAAGAAAAGTTTTTCTCCCCGCTGTCATTTCAAAACCTGCGCGAGCTAACATGCTAGCTTAAAAAAAAAAGCTATGCTATGGATGTTGAAAACACAGTCAAGGAACAAATCTGAATTCTCGAAACACCTTTTTGAATTTTGATGCCAAAGTGTCACATGATCACACCTGATGGCAGTTGGCTGTTGGTTATGTTACAACCTTTGAAGGCCAATCTTGAAAAAGAAAAAAATCGGAATTGTTTTCCGACGTTGAGGTACATTTTCAATCCATCCAACTACCGCTCTATTCAAGAGTGATTAAGGAAAATTAGTATCAACGTAGGCGCCTGACCCTCCCAATCTTTTGGAGTTTGCATTTCAACCCACTCAGAAACGAACAAAACGCAAGCAAACAAATCCATCGTGTTTTAGTGACGGCAATGCAGAACTGTGTGGGTAACTCATTATGTAACCGAATCAATTCTAGGTGCATTCTTCTAATGCGCCACAGTGCTTATTAGGCTGCAAAAAAAAAATATAAGAGTCAAGTGCATTTTTGCCCGTTATGTACGAGTCCAATATTCAGTTCTTTTTTATTTATTTATTTATTTGTTTGTTTTTGCCGTTTGGGGAAACAACTCCACGTTTTCCTCTTCCAAAAAGCACCATCACTTTTGATTTGTGCTTGCAAGGCCCGCGTTTGTACGCTTTACGCTCTTCATGTCCTCGCCCGGATTTTGTCCTGCCCCCCTCCCCATCTTTCCACGGATTATTCGCCCTCAAATGAGAAATCCTACAAAGCACGAGCTGGAAACGAAACCCCAATTTCCTTGTTCATCAAACCAGGAGGAATGAAGTGACAGCGGTCTCGAGGGAGATTGTAAACCCCTCGTTTGCCTCAATTGATATAATGAGCGCCGTGTGTTTTCAACCTCCTTCGACTCGTAATTGCCATTTTGAACACCCATCAATGGAATATGTACAGCGGAATGATGAAAGGCTCTAAATGCTTTTGGAGCAAATATAGTTGATGTTAACAAGAACACTTTGCCTTGTCTGGTTAATTATCTGAAAGATGCCATAATAACTTTATATGCGGAGTCACTGAAATGTGTAATTTCTTCTCGCAGCACACTTTCCTTTGTCCAACTTTAGTCAGACTCTTAATTTGTATTGTTTACAATAAAGCAGTTCAACTCTCATACTTGGATTTTTCCGACCACTGTTTCCTGTTCTGTTTTCTCTTTTAAAGCCATTGACCCATATTTGCGGCTCGTATTGTATCGCCGCGGCAGATTGTTGCGATAATCATTTTCCGTCTTGTCGTGCAGGCTGGAGGATCAGACAAAAAAGCTTCACAAGGACATGAAGAAAAGCACGGAGGCTGATTTAGGTTGGTTCCGCCACCGTCGCACACGCGCACCCGCTTTTGTATGCCATCGATCGCTATACTTGTTGATTGGCAGGTTTTTCAAGGCTGCAAAGATAGTTGTCTCATCTCGCTTCGTTTGCCCATGTGCCAGATCTTGGATCCACTCAACAAATGAGATGAAAGAATGCAGAGCGCCCCCTTTATCTTTCAAAGGTTTTTTTTTTTTTTTCCCAGGCTTGTTGTGTGTGTGCAATTGCGCTTTTGCATGAGGTCCTAAATGTTGATTTTTTTTTTTTTTTTTTTTTTACCTCGTTCCGCTTTGGTTTTGATTCACTAACATGGTTGTTAGCCATAAGTAGAAGGTTTTGTGATTTTCTTTGTTTTCGTGTCATGGTTTCTTCTTGAACAAAATTAAACTATCAGTCTTACGTCCACAATAAAGAATTTTTTTTTTTCTTCAAGTAGGTTATCTTTAACCTATGGTGGCAAGTCACAGGAAGTCATAAGCGGTTAGCGGTGGGCAATTGCAGCTAGCTATCCCAGCCGTTGAGCTATATCTCGTTTTTTGTTTATTCTCATTAAGAACTTTTTTGTTTGATCTGCGATACACCAATGCCAGCGGTAAAGAAAGGAAATCTGTAGCGTCAGGAGCGGCGTTTTAGAACGGCACACGCAAGCTAGCATAGTGATGTTTCTGCACTTAACACCCTATAGAAGTTCACTGTGTCAGGTCTCCTCCCACTAAGGTAGGCAGTGATTTCCTTTTCACAAACTCGGAGATCTAGCTGTCTTGTATCTGGTGTATTATTCTGTTTGATTCATGTCGGTTACGGCTGTTGCTCATCGTGGCGCATGCGTGACGTGCGCGAACGGGTCAATCGTGGGAGGTTGGCTGCTTGAAAAGTCGATCTTCGGTCAAAGCACGGGTGGGCACCTGCTCGAAAGTGTCCATTGGTGTGAATGGTTGTTTGTTTATGTGTGTCTTGCGAGTGGTTGGCGACCAGTCCAGGGCGTAACCATGCCTCTTGTCCAAAGTCAGCTGGGAGAGGCTCCTGGCAAACCTCAAGAGCCTATTGAGGCCAAGCGCGATAGGAAATGGTCCACTGTATGAGTATAATAATTCAAATCGTTGTGTTTGAGTATCCTTCATTCACAGCTAATTCAAATAAGTAATCACCTCAGTCATCGCTTGTCCCTCATCATCCACATTTCTGTCGAGGTCACAATAGTATCCAGCGGCGTGTCACTTGTCAGCTGGTGAGAAAAGCAAAAAACGCCACGCCGAGGTAATTAATTGGTTGAAAACGGCCTCCGGAGAGAAGTGCGAAAACAGACCAGTGACTTTTCCACATTTGGAAAAAAGGCCATTTTCACCACGGCCCCTCCTGTCATCTCGCGTCTCCCGCAACGCAGCTCATTAGCGTGCACAGCGAAGCCATAATGTGCCGTGTATGCCACATGTCGAAACAAAGTGCGCCTTAACAGTAATTGGTGCCGTCATGGCCGAGATTCTCGGTGCCTTGGTGAATAACCATCATGGGCGGTCGGCCCCCTGCGACCTCCTCAGATTTGGACCAAAGGGGCAACAGTGTGGCATCATTTGAGATGACTTTAGTTTTTCATATCCTGCTCATGTTTTTGACATGTTTTCATGTGATTATCAATGAACTCAGCTGTGACGATATCCATTCATCTTTATTTGTACGTGTTCCTCAGCCATGTCGAAAGCGGCGGTGAAGATCTCCGCCGACCTTCTGAGTAACCCGCTGTGCGAGCAGGACCAGGCCTTTTTCGAGTCCATGACGGCTTTGGACACAGCCATGAAGACGATGGACTCTTTCAACCAGGAGAAGGTGAGAATCGCACTCGATCGCGCTCGCGTTTGTAGTCCTGGCTCTTGGAACCGGCTTGGCACGCCTCACGCACATACGTGGTTTTTATTTTTTGGTCAATATTTCTTTTCATCCATACATCAACTCCAAACTCTCCGTATATGTTTTTCCTTGACTGTTTTTTTTTTTTTTTTTTAAAGCGTATTTGGCATTATCCCCTAAGGCTGTTCGTTTGCCGTGACTCACAATTCTCAAATGCGACTCAGACAATTGAGGCGTTTGCTCGAAAATAGGCGCAACACAACTCGGAAAGCCTGTAAGGTTGTACAAAATTCACATTCGACATTTTTATATGAATATTTCACGTATTTATTCTTTTTCTGGCGTCTGTTTCCTGGTTTTACTTGCTGCTCCATTGTTGATTGGCGGAACGAAACACAGAACAAGGAAAGTTAGAACCTCTCAAAGTACAGGATCACTTTGACTTTCGTTTTTGGTAAAAGACGAGTTTGGTGCGTTTCATTTTTCTCTTGTGTTGGATTTGGTTGATTATTGTTTGCATTTCAGTCTTTGAATTTGTTTCTGAGTTTTAAAAACTACTTTTAGGTTGATTTATAATCCATTTAAATTTTGGGGAGAATAGATTTTATTTGTACTTGAGATTTTTCTTCGTTTTTTTTTTAATGCACAGCATTTATTTATATCGAATTTAAAATTGATCGTAATTTCCTCTCTCTGAAAAACAGTAAAAATTATATTTCTTTTTTTTATATGTATATATTTTTTTTATTAACTAATCTATTTCTAATATATGCAATAGAAATTTGGGTTAAAATTAACCCATTTCATTGCTTCCAAGTCTTCCAAAAAAATTATTATCTATACTGTCAGAAGCAGGAGTTTCGTCCAACGGGAACTCGTTCGCTACCGTCAGCGCGCACCCCTAAAATGTGCTTGACATGCCTACGGCATTGACTATATCGTTCATGGAAATGCAGCGCCGTCTGACCGCAGCACAAAATTGCACTTTGCAATCTGCCGTCGTTGTTTCCAGTCGTGCCGAGACAGACACAACAATAGCGACAACGTGGGGTGAGAATCTGAGAGGAAGTCACTGATAAAAGGTCATTTCAGCTCGCTTTATTCCTAAATAAATACGCTGGCCTACTCTTGTCGTTTCACAACATTTCGTCTTCTGTCTCAGAGTGTACGCGAGTTTTTGAGGAGAATCATGGCCACCGGTACCTGCGGTGTGAATCATAGTCGCGCGACGTACAGTATGCATCCTTAACGCACAACTGCGCTGCGAAAGACTGACTTTTAGAAAGACAAAACATGCAATACTGGAGATGGACATCAGGCTTTTTTTTTGGGGGGTCGGGGGGTTGTGCTTCATTGCTGTCCTCATGTTGCATTTTGCCTTTTGTTATTGTCCAAATACCTTTTCTATGGCATTCTTGTTCTAAGTTACTAAGTTTCTAAATAACATTAAAAAATATCAGTTTTGGTTTTTTTGTTTGTTTGTTTGTTTGTTTGTTTGTTTTTTTTTTCTGGGATCACATGATTCAAACTCGCGATGACGCAAACTTGATCAAGAAAGCAAAAATTAAGAAAGTGTCCGCATTCTCTGTTCCTTCTTGATTCTCAACCTTGGATACGAAAACTGAAGTAATGTCTCCCATAGGGAATAATGGAAACGCAATGAATGTGTTCCAGACACCGACAAATAATGACATGCATTTCACAGAGACTGTAGTTTTACACACAGAACACCATATCAAATAAATATAAATCATCTGTGCGTGAGATGCTTTATGTCGTTGCTAAATTTTGGGGGGGATGAGTGGCTGACTCCCTTGATTTTGGTATAAAAACTCTGCAGCTGTACGAAAACTGTTAAACTGTGAAATGGATTAATGATGAGCTCACTTGTATGGACTCTTATTTGTTCTCTTGCTCAACTAAGACCGGCAGTTTGGTTCAGCTAGCATATTTGAGCGCTTTAGATTGCTCATCATATTTAACCCAACGCCAATCAAATGAGTGCACACGGCACCGAGTGGTCCATGACTTGGTTTGGCTTGAGTTCAATCCAATCACTTTTATTTTTTTTTTCCTCCCACTCCCTGCGTTTCCTCAACATCCACACAATCAAATCGTCTCATCTCCATAGCAGCCGCGTTCATGTGTCAGTGAGCACAATGCGCAATTTCTCTGTAGATGGAAAAAGGTTGTTGATGCTCAACAGAGTGCGGCTTTTTGTTTCGATCTCAATTCAGCCAGACGCTGAGCCCAGTCCACTTGATGGACAACCTTCAGCCAGACAGGAACTGACAGCTCGTCACACCTGATATTCCCCCACTTCTCCCCCGTCTGACTAAATAAACTTCCGAACCTTCATTCCGTGTTGACTTTTTGTAAAGTGGCTCAACGTGCGCTCGAGGCAAGAAAGACACGGCGAGCACTTTTTTTCCGCCGCGCGGAATCACCTCAGCTTCGCTCGCCGTTTCACAGATCGGCGCCGCGCCTGTGCGTATTCCGACGGCACCCACAGCGAAAACCCTGCCGCTCCTGCGAAAGCAGACACAAAAAGCAAAGCCACCCTTGGCTCGGCTGCGCGCTGAGACGAGAAGTAGCGCCGCGGGGCCCGCGAGTGAGCGAGAAGCATCCAGCGCATGAAACGTGGAGCGATAATGAAGGCAGCAGTGGCCCGGGTCCGTGTGTTTATTTCTGGGGCTGAGGAAGGGCGCGCAGCCCCGCCGGCGCACCGCTGCCGAAGCTGAGCCCCAGTGTAGATGGCGGCGGCGCAATAGAGGATGCTCCGTTTGGAGGGATATTGATTTCCTCTGCGATCTGCGTGTATTTTTGGGAGGCCTGTGTGTCGGGCTGGCCTCTGCCCCGTGACTCACTGATGGAAACTGCTGCTTGAGCGCCGGCCTCGGGCTCTGCGGGGCCTCCGAGGAATAGCGCTGCCCCCCTCCTCTCTGTGGGAAGGGGCAGAGGGTAGAGGGCACCGGCATGCTTAAGCAAATCTGCCGCTGCTCTTCTTCTCCCTCCTCGCCGCATGCTCTCACCTTTTAGAAGAAGCGGCGCCGGGAAGGAGCGGAGATGGGGGTGTGGGGGGGGTTGTTGGTGTGAATATGTAAAACAAAAGACCATGTGAATTCCCATACACTTGTTTGTTATTGCTTTTTTTTTTTTTTTTCCTTTTCCCCCTCCAACCACAATCAAGCAGTCTGCACTTGTGCCTCAGCATTGCAATGCCTTCTCATAGCTGGTCGGGGCATTTTCGCATCGAGCAGCTGCGACCTCGCTTCCGTTTGTTAGATTGCCGTATCAGCTGGCCTTCTTTCGATAGCGGGCAAACGTCGGATAGCTCATCGTCGTCATCATCATCGCACGCAGTCGACGCCTCGCAATTGTTCTTCCGTCCCGTTCACGTTTGCCCTTCTTGATCCGCTTCGCCATGTTTGCGGATGAAGCTCCCAACTGTCGTTTGGAGTCCTGAAGAAACTTGATGAATCCTTTGCCAAGTTCTTGTGCTGAGGCTGGAGGCCTTGAAATGAGACGTTCGTTTACCTCCATTTAACACACACACACACACACGCCTCTCTCCTGTCCTCCCGAGTGTAAATTCTGGCAACCATAAAGTTAAATGTATCAAAAATGTTATTGCTTAAAATGTTTGTCTGCAAAGAACTTTTCATCTTGAATGGCGGCCCACCTTCCACTGGATTTGAAATCAGCGGGGCTTTGCTTTCATGTCCGTCCCCTGACAGGTGCATCCTTTTGTATATCAAGCTCGATGAATATTCAGGGGTTTCACCTCGGGGTTTGCGTGCAATAAAATAATCACAAAGTTTTTGTTTTTTTGTTTTTGTTTTTTTTGCAAGCTACCCTCGACGCCCCCCCCCCACACACACACACACACTTTTTCCTGAGTGCTCAATTTGAAATGTATGTTGTCATTTGTGCAGCGACATTGTTGCGAATGAGCGAGAAGTTTAACCGCGAGTGGAACTCAATTTGACCATTGCAATTTGACGCTGACGTGTTTTCATCTTTATGACACTGCAGGTCAACCAGATCCAGAAGACCGTTATAGACCCTCTGAAGAAGTAAGTCTTGTTTGTTTATTTATTTATTCATTTGTTTGTTTGTTTGTTCTACGAGGGGTTGGTTGGCTTGTTGGACAGTCTGAAGGGGGGCTGTTGCAGGAACCACAGCCTTCTTGCTTTGTATGTTGCCCCTTTTCAACTTATCGTGGCTCTGCTTTGCGATACATACGTTCCCATTGACAAACCCAGGTTCTTTCAGTTTTTTTTTTTGCGCGTCAGTCTGAGCACTAGGAACCACTGTGTAAAAGCGAGTACAATACAGCACCGTATATAATAGATGAGGAGAAAAAATAGGCGGCAAAGAAGCACATGTCGTCAGATGCCATGTTAGCTCTGTGTGTTAGCCACAAAAGAAAGTGACAAGAAAGAAATACAAAACCCGCTTCTTCACAATATCACAAGCTATTAAATCCAAATGGGACAGGGCAATGAAGTCATAGTTCATGGCGCGGCGAAGCTGGCGACAGAAACTCTGTGCTAGCCAGACGCCCCCGTCTGAGCGTGTTCATCATCCGTTTTGCGGAGCATCATTTGCAGGCGGCCAACAAAGTGTTGGTAATCTCTTTACCGACTAGGAGTTTCTCCACGGGGCTGAAATGGCTCCTACTGCACCTCCCTGGACGTTGTGTCAGGCTGGTTAAAATGGTATCGGTGCCCTAGTATCGGAGCATGTTTTTCAAGTCAGCTTCTGAATACCAATGTATCGACACCGATACTGGTATCGACCATCCTTAATGCTAAGGACTAATTCGGAACAAAAGCAATGATTTTGCACAGCGCCATTTTATGTTTTGGTATCTCAAGACGTACTTTCCAACGCGATAAGTGCAGTCAAGCACCGGAAGAGCTACAGCGTGCTCTTGGAAAAGACAACAAGCGTCGGCGCTTCGCTCCTTTGCTGGACGTGGGTCTGGAAGACAGTTTATACGGTTCTTATTCCTAAAAGTCGCCCCCATCTGAGCAGGCAGAGAGTGCTATTCCATTCCTTCAGCCGCTTAAACACACACACACACGCACACACACACACACACACAGGCATGCAAAGCAGAGGTACTTAAGGGAGTGGTTGGATGCTCCCACTCATCTTCCGGAGGGCTTGTTAAGGTTTTGCTTCCTCCCGTGGCTCCTCCCAGGACTTTTAAGCGTACGCTGCAGAAGAGAGCTCTGGCACACTTGATTTTTCTCACAGGAGTATTTAATATAAGTTGAAACGGTCACCAGAACATCACAAAAAATAAATAAGCTCAACAAAGTACACACGATCCTTTTGAATCCACGTGGGTCAGTGTTCGTGTACGACTCCTTTCTTTTCTCCTCCTTTGCTCCGGTGGCGTAGAAATGACAGGATGGAATGGTTCTAATTTCCCCTTCCTGGTGGGCGGCAGGCGGACGTGTGGGCCGGCTCTGAATATGGCAAAAGGCCCAGCTTCCTGGGCCCAGAAGCAGTGAATCGGTTGAGAAAAGAGAAGCGTCGCAAGATGGTTGCACGCCGATGCCGTGAAGTTTGCCATTAATGCCATCGCAGTCCGGAACCCTGTTAATGTCATCTCTTCATTCATTAACCATGCGCGTCGCTTTACAAATATTACTACTGTGCGACTTATTAATTTATCCAACAGTCCAGCTTGCCTAAAAGCTCCAGTATTTTTTTTTTTAAAGCTTCCATTAAGATTCCATTAGTCCTTCACTAACGAACATTAGCCCCGTTGTTTGATTGGCACCTGAAAACTATTAGCGATTTTGTGTTTGTCAAGAATTAATGGAAACGGTACCCGGCCTTAATACTGAAAAATGTGTGGTAAACACACAGGCGCTCTTTCCTCGGTCATCTCGGCCTCTGTCTTTTCTATCTTGTCGCCCAGATGTGCACTTAATCCACTCAGCAGGGTCCCTGAATGACATCACAGTGTTTGTTTGAGGGGAGGGGATGGGAGTGCGTGGGCACGCAGGCATTCGTGTTATCTGAGCCTCCTAACCTTACCCTTTTGTACACTTTGTGGCAAGTCGAATCTGTTTGGAGATTTGCGTTTCAGCTTGGGCTGGGATTGTGCCTGGTGTAGGCCCATAACCAACTGGAACCTTGCGCCTCAATGACTTTGAGGTCTAGGGACTGAGATGGCCACACGGGAGGAACTTGATGGACCATTTTTGCCCTTTTCTGTATTTCAGCTTCGGCAACCAAAATGTATTTTGGCTTTGAACACATCTTAACCAGGGGTTGCTCATAATTATGGAGGGCACTGTATTTTTGGCTTCAAATCTTAATAAATGCAGTTTTCACTTTTAGGGGTGCGCCACTTCTCAGATTTTAGCTTCTCTAGGTCAGGCTTGGTCCATAACCGCGCCCCCGAATAGTTGGATACTGTGTATTTAATTTAAAAAAAAAAAGAATGTGAAATGAAATGTCATGGAATTAGGGACACCCAAAAATGTAAGTGTCAAAAAATGTGTATTTTTGTTAAAGAAACTTTTGGTACGGATTTTTTTTTTTTTTTTTTTTTGTGACAAAATGCAAAGAACAAATTCATTTCACAAAAAACAAACAAACACAAATCCTTTATTTTAGTCGGCCCCCAAAAATGGCCGTATCTTTCTTAGTTGAGAGACTACATTGAGCCTTAGTCTCACGTGTGATGACTGTTCAACCTCAAATTTTGGTTTCATTCTATTTTTTTTTTTTTTTTTTTAAAGTTGGTTTCCAAAGTTACCCTGCAACAGTGTTTTGGACCTAAGGGTGTTTGCTGTTGCTTTCTTTCCAAACTTGCAGCAAGTGTGAGTTTTGATCAACAAAGCATAAGGCAAGTTGCGGCAGATCAAACTCCCACTCACGTGTTCGTCACAGACAAACACACACACACACACACACACACACACACACACACACTCAACTGATCCTGAAGCAGGTGGAAGCCGTTGTGCATGCACACCAGCACATTGACTTCCCTCTCTCGAACGCTCTTCATTTTTGGAGCTTAGCCCGTAAACAATTCCTGCTCCCGTCCTTCTTTTGTGGTCCGGTGTGTATTTTTTGCACTCGTGAGTTATGTGATGGCGCTGGTCGCAGAGGGACAGCCGGCTTCCTTAGACCCGAGGGTGTTTCGTCCAGACTTTGGCTTGGCTCGCTGGCCCGACTGCCCCCATTTGTGGACTGGCACCGCTTCCGAAACACGCGTTCTCAGCCAGATGCTATTTCCATCCTGTCCGTTCACCACACCCTGACCCGTCACATGGACAGCGCCGTGCGCGCTCCTGGCCCTCGGGCCGCCTCATCTCCACCGAGCCGACCGCACATTGAGGACCCGGCCAGCTAACCACTGTCAGCTACGGCTTGACTCTAACTAGCGCTGCTTCGATATAGTTTTGATGCCAGGGGTGCACAAACACTTGCTGGAAGATCGAATCTGCTAAGCTGTTTTGAGTAGAACTACACTGACTTTCTATTGAACTTTAATTGACCTGACACACAAGGAGTACATTTATGGCATAGAGTAGTAAATTCAGCAACACAGACAGTGACGCAACGTCATTTTTAGTCGCCATCTCCGGTGATTGAAAAGCCTCTCGTCAATTCGCCCCCCAAAAATATTCATACCTCCCTTCGCATCGCTCCTCTATAGATATGGATGATTACAAGATTAGGCGATACACGCTGGGCCACATGAACTTCCGCAAACACGACGTTTGTGAGCGACGTCGTCTCTTCTGCTCATGCTCACCTGAAATGTCAAATTGTGGCGTGCGAAACTGGTTTGCCAAACTTTACTGTATCTCATGTCTTTATCTGCGCCTGTTGTTTCGTAAACGAAGGGTGTAAAGTGCCACATGGCCCTTGCATTGTTGACTTTTGACTATAGGCGGACTCTTGTCAGTAAAAGTTTGCACACCCCCGTTCTTATACAGCTGAGTCACACACGGAGCCCTGAACGTCGCCGTCAGACGTCAGCATCCACGGGAGAGGGCACTTGAAATCCTTTTTACATGCTGACGAATGAACGCCAACAACAGGCAAGCGTGCTGTGTGTCATGACAAAATTGGCCCTCGCTGACAGGTGTAGCGCGCACGTGAGAATACGCCGAGCCCCGGCGCGGTTTTGAGATCAGTTTTCCTTGCTGTGTCATCAATCGCTCATTGTAGGGTTGCCGTCATGCCCCGAAGGGCGGTTGCGTAATGCCCTGGCGCGGCAAGCATGTGCACACTGGAGCGCAGAGAGTAGACTTGAGGATCAACATCAAGCCCTGCCACGAACTGGGTCAAAGTGGTTGTTTATAAATAGTGTCGGAGCGTGGGCCGCGGGGGCCGGGCAGAGCTCCGTGATGTCACTCCAAAAGGCCACTCCTTGCTCCGCTTCCTGTCGGGAACAATCCCCGCTTGTCTGAAACCCAGCGCCGGCGCTCATCTCTCTTTACTCGGCCTCCTTTAAGATGTGTCGGGGAGATAGACTTGTAATTTGGCCAAAGCGGGTTGGTGGCGGTTCCCCACATCGGGGGCAAGGGGCTGGCGCGCAGAAAGGAAACGTCAGTCAGGAAGCCCACATGTTGAGCGTTTAATAACAGCACGGGGCAGCACACGGTGATCTCGTGTCGCAGAGCGAGAGCTCGGCCGATAAAATGCTTTAAATGAGTCATTCGAAAGATAAATACGAAGAAAAAAAAACCTATTTGTAAGTTTTGGTCAGTGACTCACCTATTGTACACACCTCCGTGAATCATTTTGTGTCATTTTTACACTCCTACTCTAATCTAGTATCTTGAAAATGATGCTCATCTGTATCTTTTTTTTCTTCTCAGCATTCATTATTTAATACGAAGCAGTTATTTGTGTGTGTGTGTGTGTGTGTGTGTGTGTGTGTGTGTGTGTGTGTGTGTGTGTGTGTGTGTATATATATATATATATATATTAGCGCTCTGACTCGCAATTCCGCCTCTGACTACGGACATGTTTTTGCTTTTTTACTTTAAAATGACTTACCTTCACTAGAATTCTGTGTCAAATTGTAGCCAATGGTAGAATCCTGCTCAGTTATTGCACCTTTCGGGGCTGGAAATAATAAAACCTCATTGCGGCGGATGCTGCATGCTAAACTGGGGAGATGGTCCTTTTATTTGTTGCCGTAGGGTCACACATGAGTTGCCTTGACTCCCATTTTTGTTTTCTTCATCTTCTACTTTCTTTTGGTGCGTTACCTGAAATAGATTGCGTGTGACAATATTCTGTGATTTTTTTTTTTTTTTTTTTTTTTATGATTCAAATCCGATTTTGGTTCGGTCAATTTATATTGTGTCCTGTGATTCACTGGCGACCAGTCCAGGGTCTATGGGGGTCCGCTCCAATTCTCTGACTCCCTGGACAAGACGGGCAGTGTAGAGAATGGGGTGGATGGATGAATATTGGATTAGATGTTGGATTTAAATCCCTCAACAGTAATTCTTCTCAGATTTCTGTAGTCCTTCATCAAAGCAGACCGAATATATTTGTGTTTTTTTTTTTTTCTCCAAAATAGGAAATTGACAAATTCGTACAATTATAGCAGCGCAGTGCAGGTGAAAATGAAGTTTTTATTTAAGGTCAAGCATTGATTTGCACATGATGATTAATCGAGGCATGGTAACTTTTAAACATTTTTTTTCCCTCATCCACGTACTTGTCCATTCTCGAATAAATGAAGCACAACTACTTTGAATTTCACAACGGGAGGACTTGAGTGCATTTGCGAATTGTTAAACAGAAATTAACACCGCATTTGACATCATCCAGCTGACCGCTGTTGCAAATACAATCAATCCATCTTGCCAAATGATATGATGCACAATGTGGGCATTCAAAAGCATCAAAAGCAGCGCAACAAGTCCAGCGATGAAGCGCCGAACTCTGTTGCTAAGTTACAGATGAGTCTTCTCCTATTTTTAGTGGCCGAGACTGAGATTCTCATGGTAAGAACCAGAAAGGATGATCATTGTCTCAAAATGAAGAGTGTCATGCCGTTTTGAACGACAGTAACGGGATAACTCATGCAGAGCTGTCCTCCGGGGTTAGACAAATACCTGAACGAGGAACGTTATTTATGCATAATGACTTTTATTCACATCTTTGGCAAACTGAAATACTCGTCTGCATAATTAATGGCACGGTCATGTTTCTGATTTATTGCTGATCTTTTCCCAGGTACAGCGCCGTCTTCCCCAGCCTCAACATGGCCGTCAAACGTCGCGAGCAGACCTTGCAGGACTACAAGCGCCTGCAGTCCAAAGTGGAGAAGTACGAGGAGAAAGAGAAAACCGGGCCCGTGATGGTCAAACTGCACCAGGTACGGCGAGATCCCGGGCCCGGCTGGATGGCGCCCCCTGCCTGCGAATCAGCAGGGGGAGGGTTGGTGGTGGGGGCACCACCACCACCACCGCTGACTGGATCTGAGCAAAAATAGTCGAGCACATGCGGGCGCAGTCCATGCGCGCTCCTTCACCCACGCGAGCTAGCGAGCTCTCAAGTTTTCAAAAAGCCACTGCTGCACATCTACAGGCGCGTAATTGAGAATTGGAGACACACACACACGTGCACACGCGCACACGCGATGCCATTACCGCGGCGCGCACATTCACAGATAGCGTTGCCTAAGCTATTGCCGCTAACACATCCTCACATGGAGATCCACCCACACACATTGAGAAAAGCAGCGTCAGGGGAACAAAGACTTGAAGAGGCCCCTGCACGCCTGCCCTTTGAATCCCCATGCACTCAAAGAGACGATCCGAAACAAAAACACACGGATGCCATTTCATTTTCAAATCAACTCGCTGAGGTGAAGAAAGCATGCCATCGTAATGCAGCCCCCCCTCCCCATATAAAAAAAAAAGCAGCAGCAGCAGCAATATGCTCCATTTTAAATATACCGTCTCTCTCCCCTCCATAAGTCTCACCCTCTCGCATATTCATCGTGCGTTAGGTGTCTACAGTAGACTGACTACCCACTAATACATTCACACACACACACACACACACACACACACACACACACACACACACACACACGCGCACACGCACTGAGCTCGGTGGTGCTGGAGTCCACTCACAGCCAAGTCTGCCCACATTACCCACTCCTCCTCACTGTGGTCGTGATTACAGCCTTTTTTGCAGCTCTTCTCCGTGGGAATTAGGCAAATATCTTTCTCGACAAAAAGCCGACACCGGTGACTTCGGTGGCTAGATTTTCCATAACACTACTGTCCGATATCACTTTTTTGGGGGGTGTTGGGAGGGCGGACAACAACTATTTTATAATGATGTCTAAAGATCAATCCAGTCGTGGTTTGAATTGACCCGGCCGGGCTTGACCCAAAAACGCCTGCAAAAAAAAACAAAAACGTTGTCATATGCTTTTTTTTTTTTTTTTTTTAACCAAGAAAAATCGCACTCTCCTGTATTTGTCTTCATGGAAACATACAGTAATAAGGTAAAAAAGAATGGAACAGTGTGTGCATCATGATAAATAAGTCAGTTGGCGCTGTGCTGCTCTGTCTGATGTAAATACCAGCGTCAGTCTGATCCATGCTTACTACATGTAGATTTGATGCTGAAACAGAGAAGACCTTTGCAACTTCGCTGCAATCGTTTTTTGCAGTGGATAAAGAATATATGCCTCAGAGTATTGTTGCGTGCCGTTTCGCTAACATTTGTGTTCACAAGGAAGTTGGTTAAAGGTTTGAGTACCGCAACCTCTGTGCTAGTTTCTTTAGCCCGTCTATGGTGTTTTGCATAGAGCGTTAGCATTAAGCTAGCAGAGTCTGGAAGGCAAAGTGATGCGGTTTGGTGAAAATTCAGCCGCGTTTTGTATGGCGAATGACAACCCCTGGCGTCATCCCCGCAGGCCAGAGAGGAGCTGCGACCGGTCAGGGAAGACTTTGAGGCCAAGAACAAGCAGCTGCTGGACGAGATGCCCAAGTTCTACCACAGCCGCATCGACTACTTCCAGCCCAGCTTCGAGGCTCTGATTCGGGCGCAGGTTAGTGACTCGCGGCTCATCGTCACCCCCCCGAGCAGCAGTTAAGTAAGTGAGCGTGTGTACGCCTGGCGGCGCGTCTCCTTCGTAATGCGATTAACCCCCCCGGCGGCGGCCCACGCTCGGGCGTTTGACTCGAGAGGGCCTCGTCTGTCTGGCTCCGGCGTGGCCCCAAACGTGAGGCTTCTTTTTTAGCAGCTGCCCTCCCCGCACCAGAGCCGCCCCGGCCGTGTCATTTCCTCCATGGCACACTCCTGATTAGCAAACGAGATTATCTCAATCTGCGCTTTGAACTTTGCAGGACGAGGACAATCGAATCTTTCAATTTGCTCCATTCCCAAAAAAAAAAAAGTTGCAAAATGGAAGAGGGGAAAACGCGCATCGGATGAGTGAGGCGGTCACCCTGGAGGAAATGTAATTGACCATTTGAGTCTCATGAATGAGCGGTTACGCACATAACGCACGTGGGTGGCCGGCGGACCTCCCTCGGTTCCGTCCTCCACTCCCTTTTCTCCTCCAGTCCGCCGCGCTCGGCCTCTCCGCGTCAGCGCATGCACAAAGGCCGCCTTTGTTTGCCACCGCGAGTCCCATCCAGCAGCGCTGGTTGGGACGCTGAGGTCCGACCCGTCCACCTGTACGCATGCTTATCAGATGTTTTGCATTTTCCTGCAGCATGTGGGTTCAGTTAAGATTTTTTAAAAAAAACCAACAACAACAAAAGATTGTCTTTGTTTCCTGAAACATGATGAGCACGTGCTGGGAGTTGACAGTAACTGCTCCAAAATATGAGGCCCGGCTCAACTTGTTATTTTACAAACACTAACAACATGTGTTATGGCTGCAGCTAATCGAACATTTCCGTATTCCGAGCACGACGCATGTCACACATCTCCAGCGATTATCTGATGCTGAGGTGGAAAAGTGCACACAGATGCTGCGCTATTCCGCCCTCCGTCGGTTGTGTGTCAAGGGCAAAAGGTTCCATTGAAAAATACCTTCCAACCTTTGGGTTGGTGTTACAGCAACAAGTTTTTTGTTTTGTTTTGGTTTTTTTGGTCATCATTTTAGTCTCCTAGCACATCAACAAATCGTACAGTCTGTGCAGGTTGCTCAGAGCTTTCTGGTTCCTCGTACTTCTCCTTCAGCCTCCTCTCGTGTTGCTCTTGTAGTGTGCTTAAAGTCTATTAATCATCCAAGCCGCTCTCGAGAGAGCCTCGCTCATGAACTCCGGGAAGAATGGGAGGTGGGAAGGGTCGGAAAGGCTTTTGGCGAACGCTCAAGTTGACCCTTGTTCCGACTGGGAGGGGCAAAAAAAAAAAAAACCAGGTCAGTCGTCACTCTGTGTTGTTTGCTGTCCGCACGCTGCGTCGTCCAATGGCTGATCGCTTCTCCTTGCTGAGGTGCGGGGCAATCAAAGCCAGATTGGATGATGCCAGGGAGGCCCTTTTTAGGCTCATTAAGGGACTGACCTTAGAGCCCTTTTCAAAATAATAAAAAACGGATGCAGTTTTGCCGATTATAAAACACAAATATGATCTTGGTGTCTCTTGAAACAGTCCCTGTGCATGATGTTGATTTACGTACCGTGTACATTTATTTTCCTCCAAAATATCCAATCGGACCTATGTCAAAGTTCACTGAAATTTTCACCTCGATACATTTTTTTTTTTTTTTTTTTGGTTGACACACAAACCCATTGAACTTCCACATCCTAACCAAACAGTGATTCCACCCCCCGACCCCTCCTCTCGGCAGGTGGTGTATTTCACGGAAATGTACAAAGTCTTCAGCGAGCTGACGGATCAGATCGACCAGGCGGGCCTGACCGACGAGCAGCGGCAGAGGGAGAGCGAGGCCAAGCTCAACGAGCTGCGCGCTCTCTCCATCGTGGCCGACGACTGAGACGTCGGACGCTTCGCCAAACGGAGGCGCCGAACATATCGAAGCCACCGCCGTGGCTTTTAAACCGGTTAGTCCTTCCCCACTGCTTGTTTTATCGGAGGCCACATTCATAAAGCCATCAAGCCAACGCGACCTTACCGCTTTCCTCGAACGGTGGCCGTCCCGCAATCCATGTCTTAAATTAAACGACGTATGTTCGATGTCGTATGCCCGTTTGAATCGCCGGTTAGGTGCTTCCGTGTCGGTTCGCAACGGTATCAGTAAACCGTCATTCAGATGTGTAGGAAGTGTCATTCTTGTACAATAAATTATATTTCTGATCATTAGCTCAGCGATTGCTATTGTTCTCACACAGACTGTGTGTGTGTGTGCGCACCCATTCCAAGTCTGTTACTACCCAAAACAGCAGCACCTCAGTTATCGCTCCATAGTTGTGTCCCACTCTGTCCTGGAATCATGCTTTTTGTTTTAAACTCCAGATCAATTGACAGCAATTGTAGGACAGTATAACGATGATTCTGTTCATTATTATTTCCCCCAATATATATATATTTTTATTTTTTGGGTGCTTACAAGGTGCCAGTTGTTGACTACTGTTTGATTTTATTTATTTATTTTTTTTTATCACGTTAAGCAGACGCAATCACTCTTCTGGTCTAGACTTTTTTTTCTCACACCCGACGTTATCTTTTCGTTGTACGCGTTGACATCTTTGTGGCGCATGAAGCAGCAAAATGGCTCAAAAGTTGACATGGGGAAGCGAACGGACGGTGCAGTCGGCCTCAGTCAAAATCGAGCCAAGTGCTCCCTCTAGTGGAGAAAAAAGCATTTGCTCCAAAAGCGTCCACTCTGCTGAAAGAGGTCAGAGGTCACAGATGTACACCGGGTGCTCTGACTTTCCCTTCTCGTGTCACAAAATCGAGCCAAGTGCTCCCTCTAGTGGAGAAAAAGCATTTGCTCCAAAAGCGTCCACTCTGCTAAAAGAGGTCAGAGGTCACAGAATTACGCTGGGTGCTCTTACTTTCCCTTCTCGTGTCATACAATTTGCCTTGCCTTTGACTTATTGTGTTGTTTATTTTAACTTAAGCTAACTATTGATGAATGAAGGTGTCTTTCGAGCAACTGAAGGTGGGATATTTTCAAGCATTACCAGGGAAAACACGATAAAGTCTCTTCTCTTAACATGAATTTACTTGTTAAGAGAAGAACATGTTATTTTGTTGTAAAAAGCATTACTTGAAAACGGAAAACATGATTGTAACGTCAGGATAGATCAGGTTACTAATTATTTTAATTTACTTTTTTTTCTTTCTCCAAAAATACTTTACTCAAGTTACATTTTTCTTGAATTTATACTTTATTTTTGTTGTTGTTTTCAGTGTGACATTAATAACCCTTTTAAGTAATTAATTGTTTGTTTGTTTTACACCAGTAAGTAAATACTTTTACAACAGAGGGCTGGCTTTATTTGTTTGTAAACAAATATGTTTTGTTTTTTGCATTCATTAAGAAAATAAATGAGAACTGACTTTGCTCTTTTTGTCTTTTTACTGCATTCGACTCATGAGTGCCCTGGAAAACAAAGGCAAAACAAGTGAGAAATCTTGTTTGTATTTGCTTTTTATTTCACTAAACGAGTCAGTAGTGTCCACTTATTAGAAGCAAAACCGTATTTACATCGCAGACATCTCTGTCGCTTGATTTCAATGGATCAAGTGAGGTTTATAAAACCAAATTGAGGAAATGCACAACAAACGCCTGTTACAAGTGAGACTTGGATAAACTTGGAAGAAAAGAACATCAAGTAACGCAACGTGTCTCTGAGGGGTACAAAAAAACTTGTTTTGCCATTTTTGAAAGTACAACACCGGCAGCAGAGCAACGCTTTTGGTCCCATTAGATAACAATGTACACGTTAAATGTTGAACAGATGTCTGTAAACTACAGTGAAGTCAAAAATGTATATTGAGGCACTTCCCCGGTGTTTCCAACGTTTCGTCTTTGCTCACACGGCCGTCTTGCCGTACATGTTGGCTATCTGCTCCTGGAACAAGCGTCGGATGTCGGCGCGTCGGCTCTTCAGCGTGGGCGTGAGGAGGCCGTTGGCCACGCTGAACGTCTCGGGGTGCAAGTGGAGGTCTTTCACCTGGAATGAAACACAAGGGCAAGTCAGTACAGTGGCACCTTGCTAACTTTTCGTGACAACAATCTGCTAGCTTTACGCTAACACAAAATGCACACGGACGCTAGGGTCGGTGATGGCGTCGTCATAATGCTTCAAATAATGGAAATGAACATGAGCGCTCAGGGCGGCTCTCAATCTGAAAAGCGCAGGTAGAAAGTGTGCGTGGTGTCGGCTGAGCTCTCGCTGGTTATGTAAACCTTCTTCAGTCCCAATTGCTGGAACTAGAGGGGGGAGGGGAGACCCAGAGAAGAGGTCAAAGGGTACTCTTAAGGCCAAACTATTTCAAGGCACAACACGAGTATGTACTGCAGTGTTTTGGAATGTGTGACTTTTAGCTGAAACCAAGTGACGGGTTCCTCACTTGTTCAAAGGATTTGAGTCCCGCCTCCTTGCCAATCTCTCTCATGTCCTCCAAAACTGCCTTCTTTACGTCCTGCGAGAAAGACGGTCGATAAATATATTTATTTGTGTGTTTTTTGCAAAAAGTGTGACAAAATGTGCACAATATTTCATCTTATTACTTACAGGAGTTTGACACAGTTCCTCATATGAGTCCACGAACCCTCGCTCCTTAGCCCAGGCCACGAAAACCTCACGGTCGGGGACAACGATGCCTACCAGGTAAGACTGACCACAGGGGAAATGCAAGGAACAATCATTAACGTTAAAACTTTGTTTTTAAATGTCTTTCGCTCTTTTGTTTGGAAATGCTTTTGAAATGTTGCACTTTTCATTGTAAAGCACATTGAGTTACCTGGTATATAAAATGCACTATATTAACCTTTTTTTTACAGGAGCGTGACAGTGAAAAATGAGAAAATAGATTTGTCCGCATTACAATTTCGTCTCAACTTCCAAATATTCCCCGTGGGCACCCTGGTGAAATTTGGAAGGAAAATTGAGGAGGGCTCAAGTTAATATGAACCTAGCGTGAGCAAGCTGCGTGCAGCACACGGTACCTGTAAACTATCTCCATGCACAAAAACCTGCAGCACAGGCATACAGCGCGTGTAAATGTTTTCGATCTTCTCCGGGGCGACGTACTCTCCCTGCGACAGCTTGAAGATGTGTTTCTTCCTGTCAATGATGCGCAGCGTCCCGTTCTGACGGAGCAAAACCAGCAACAATAGGATTCGGCGGTTTTGTTTTGGTTCACTACAAATGACAGACCAAAACTATAGAAAGAAGAAATCAAATTGACGTCTTGAGTTTTAGATGACAGACTTACTGGAAGCCACTGTCCAACGTCTCCACTGTGCAGCCAGCCGTCACTGTCCAAAGCTTCTGCCGTCCTTTCGGGGTCCTTCAAGTAACCTCGGAACACGCTGGGACCGCGGATACAGATCTGACAATCAGAAAAACGCAAGAATCCATAGTCAGCAGGCGCCGCCATTTTGTAAATTTTTTTTTTCAGGTCATGTAAAAACACAACTGAGATCATGTGGTTGCCAAAGTGTCCTTCTAACTGGGAAGCGGCTTTGTTCAGAATTAACTCATTTGGTACCAGCCAATTCTAGACCAAGTCTGAAAAGACGTTTAAAAACGTCTTTGGGAGTGAATGAGTGCCTTTCAAAGTCATGTTAAATGGCTTGTCTTTGCGCCAAGTATACCTTTTGTAAATATGGTAAGTTAATGTTGGGGGGTAAAAAAAAAAACTTTTTTTTTGGTAATAAACACAAAAACGTGATATTTGAAGAGGGGTTTGGTGACTTCTTCCATTCACATATAACATTCTCACCTCTCCCTCTCCATTCTTTGCAAAGTAGTTCATGTCGGGGATATCCACCAGCTTGACTGTAGCACAGGGCAGAGGAGCGCCAACGTGTCCTGACAAACGCACACTAAATGTCACACCAGTAAAGGAAACCGTCTGTCCATTACAAAAAAAAAAAGTTTGTGTGTATATATATATATATATATATATATATATTTTTTTTTTAAAGTAAATAAATTGTTTTTTTTCAGGAACTATAGAGTGCGTGTGTGAAAGGTTATACTTCTCGAAAACTAACCACGAACCTACTATGTCACCAATTGACCTGAAATAGCCGTTCCCCAGCCTAACCTGCCGTCCAGTCTCCCGGCATGGAGAAGGTGCATCCCGCCGTGCACTCTGTCTGGCCGTAGCCTTCAAAAATGAGACATCCCATCGTAGCTCGCAGAAAGGAGAGCACCATGGGGCAAATGGGCGCCGATGCGGTCAGGGCGAAGCGCAGGTTTCCTCCGAAGTTGGACTGGAACACAGGCAAGCCACGTGACTTTTTTTTTTTTTAAGCAACAATAACGAGAGCAAGATCCCACTTCAACAGCAAGTCAGACCATATTTTTCCCATCGACCTCCGTCGAGCCAAAATGTTCCGTTGCCAGCGTGCGCGCGCGTGTCTCCAATACACTCCCACAGGCGCAATATGCTGCGTTTGTTTTTGGCACCGCTCACTGGAAGAGCTCAGCTTCTCCGACTAACTTTTCATGCAACATGGTGGACTCACTGCAAGCTGCTTCGTGCTCTCTGTCTGCTTAAAGGCTGGATAGAAAACATTGTTTGCTTTATTTCTGAAGTGAATGTAATCACGCTCGAACAGAATTTTAGTGCTAAACTGGCAACATTTGCTTCAAGAGGTTAGCTTAGCATCTAGGGAGTACATCGCCTCTTGCCCGGTCCACTGCAATAGACTCTAGCCAAGAAAATGAACAAAGTAGCTAAATCTAAACTTAAAAAAAAAACATTTCCGTTAATGAAATTTAATAAAAAATGAAAACTAACTGTCGCTTCCTCTTACGTTTAAAAAAAAATAAATAAAAGTGAAAAGATACTTCTCTTTCAATTAATATCATGCATGAGCATTTGGCATTCATTTTAAGTATTCATTTTGGAATTGTACCGTGTCGTTTCAGATTTGTAATTTAACACAATGTTTTAGATCATTTTCAGTAACCCCTTTTTCAATCTTGCACTTGGCAAACACTTCATATAAAAAAACTAAACCTAACACTAAAACTAATCAAAATTAACCTCAAATGAAGCATTTTTGGAAAAAATTGACTACTGAAAACGAATCAACCTGCTCTAAAAAAACGAATTCAAACTGAATCTAAATAAGTGAAAGCCAAAATGAATTTTTTTAAAAAATCCCAAACTTTTATAAACCCGACTCCAACTCACGGCGATCTGAATTACATAACCCGAGAGAAAAGAAGACTGTAAAAAAGGTCATTGGCTCCACCCACCTGAATCCTGTTGAAGACCAGTTTATCCCAAAGACTGTTGTTGCGTACGAGGCCGCTGCTGAGCTCGGCCTGCTTCCTCCTGACTGCAAAGTGAAGCAAAGCTCGCCTCAGCGGAGACGTCACTGAGCCCAGGATCTGAACAGGGAGCGGACTTGAAGAAAAAAAAAAACGCAAACGGTGATCTGGCGGATGACGGGCGTCATCTGTAAAGCAGACCTTGTCGTAGATGCGGTTCAGCACACGGGGCACGACGGGGAAGAGGGTGGGCTTGAGTGTTTTGATGTCGTCCATCAGGAGGGAAATGTCCCCTTGGTAAAAGCCCACTCGAGCTCCGTGGCAGAACATGGATACCTGACACGGGAATAGTCTTCATTTAGATGTCAAAGCAGCCGAAGAAAATAAAGACGGAGTCTGAGTGCGAATGGACATTTGACCACTATGATGGAGCAAAATTTTACAATCCATTACCAGAATTTCCACAATATTCTACTTTTCATTTTCTTTGCCTTGAAATGTTTTGACACCTTTTTTTTGGAACTGATTTTAAGTGTTAATTATGTGAAGCACATAGAGTTATCTCGTGTATGTTGTGCTTGTATATATGCTGCCCAAAAACTCAAAAGAAAAGTCAGTCGAATGACATCTAGTGTCAGGAATAAGAATAGACACTCGGTAATGTACCGTATTTTCCGCACTATAAGGTGCTTGGGAGTATAAGGCGCACCTTCAATGAATGGTCCATTTTAAAGCTGTTTTCATATATAAGGTGCACCACATTATTAGGCACATAGAATAGAAGCTACAATAGTGGCTGTGGTTGCATTATGCAGCCACTAGATGGAGCTCTGGTAAAGAGAATACAATACATACAGCTTTATTTATACTGTATAGCGCTTTCACAACTGATGCAGCTGTCACAAAGCGCTTTAAGGAACATTTAAAATACTACGTCCAAGAAGTCAGAATTTTGATCCATACAGAAAGTGCATCAGATTATTAAGGCGCACTGTCAGGTTTTGTGAAAATGGAATGCTTTTAGGTGCACCTCATAGTGCGGAAAATACGGTACATGGAAAGCCGACATAATTCCGCACCGTCCCACATTACTTAGCAAGGAGAAACAATCATTAGGTGACCCTACAATACGCAAACAGCTCACCGTTATGTGAGTGCCGCAAATGGCAGATGACAATGCTCGTGGGCTAATGGCGCTAACTGATCCACGACCATACGGGCTATTATAACTGCAGGATACAAGCACATTTCAGGTTCTTATTTTTGTCGTGAATTCATACTCTCATACACTTTGAACGATCTCCCTTACGCTCCATCATAGCTCAAATGTCCTGCTTCTAACGGCGAATAATGAATAAACAATCAACGCTCTTGCAGCTCAATTGCTACAAGACTCCATTAATTAACTTCTCGATGAGTTGTCCTGCGATGAGCCCACCTGGATCATCCTCTCAAACATGTGTGCCAGAGGCAGGTAGGAAATGGAAACGTCTTCTTGTCGGATGACAAAAGAACCCTGGCAGAGGGAAAATAACCAGAGAAATGTTTCAATCCTCCGGGGAGACATGACGCCTCGGAGGCAATCAAACACGTTGCGTGCTTTTCCCCCCCTCCGGCATTTAGAAAGCAGTCTGTCTTTAAAGAGGCAATTAGTTTAAGCAGCTCGCAGCCACAGGGCCAATCAAACTCCCTGGGGCTTGCCTGCACATAAACAAACGAAGACATTAGTGGCGCGTCCCGAGCGCTTTGCGAGCTGTACAGCGTGGGTCGTAAAAGACGCCGCCTGTGGGCAACGCTGCCGTGATGTGAGCAGGGGATGATTAGGAGGTACCTGTGGTTCCACTGGTGAAGCAAACCACGGCCAGATCCTGAGGCTGGGGGGGCTGAAGCGGAAGCGAGGAAAAAAATATATATGAATACCGAACACCTCCACTAACTCTTGAAGCATTCAGGGGGAATTTGCACGGCTGATCTTAATGCCCAATTCTGATTTATTTTTTTTTTTTGTGTCACCGAAAAAAACAAATCAACCATCAAATCATTTAATGTGTACACATGTATGTATACACTTTTTTCTGCTTTTAGTGGATTGATGAATATCTCAGCATGGGACTAAAACATGGAAGTGTGTCACTCACATTGTGCAAATCCGTTCATAGGCTGAGAGAACCGAAAACTCACCAAAGGCTCTTTGAGGTTCTGCCTTCCGAGATCCTACAATATGCACAAGGAGGATAAGTGTAAATATGATAATGAGTGAAATAAAAAAACCCTTGAGTGTACACTGTCTGCTCACCATGAGCTGTGTCAGTGTGAGAACCTCCACCTGGCAACCACAGGCCCTCTCGGCGAAAGCCTCGCTGAAGTCGTCGAAGAGAACCAGACAGCAGAGTTTGGGAGTGACGCCCTTCTCCTTATTCTCCAACAGGGAAGCGGCCTTCTCTTCACGGTCGCACACCACCAGGGAGATCTCCGCTAAAGTCCACCGCCACACAAGCACAACTGTGAGTTCTACCGATCGGCAATAAATATTACAAATATAATTATTATTGGTCCAATATGTGCTTCATATCCCCCAAACAGGACGTCTTACCCAAGTGGAGAATATGGACCATGGCCTCCAGCCCCAGTGTGTCATAAAGAGGAACCAAGGCCATGGAGTAAGTGTAGCAGGCCAGCTCTGTAATGACCCACTGCCGCCAACAGAGGGAGACAAAGCAGCACTTTTACACTCGCGTCCCCCAAACACTTCCTTGCTCGGTCAGTCAGATAACAGCTTTCAAAATGAACTAAAATGTCAGCCAAACGGACAAAGACACTCAGGGAAAAAATATAATTATGGTTTTGGAGCTAATCTCGTTGCTTAAATGGAGCAAATAATAGTTTTTGCCCTTTTTAGTCTGTGAAAATGGTCTTGCCTGTCGGGTGTAATAGAAATGATGATTACAGCAGCTGACTTGAATGAGGAATCGCTGTCTGGAGACACACAGTGCCTGCGGCCTCCACATATCGATTTATAAAAGTAAATACACTTTAAGGACACAAAGAAACTGCAAAAAGGAACTTTAGAGCATCATTCTGGGCTTCCCAGACATGTTTTGCGGTGGACTTTGGTAGAAGTACACTATGCCAATGTTATGAGGTCACAACAAAGGTCAAAAGAAAACTTGGCAGTTCATCATTTTAAATTTGGGCCTTAAAGGGCTATTAAGTTTTGAACAGCAAGGTACTGAGGGGTTTTTGAAATATGACAGCGTAATCCAGAATCTGTACATAAACTAGAATGTGTGAGAGATAGATACTCTATCATGAGCACAATTAGTAAATTTCTTACAGAAATATTCCAAAACAGGAATATAAAACATTCAAATTCAGAAAAAAACACGCAACAATCAAAAACAATAAATATGAAGAGCCGACGTTCATCTGGGAATTATTAATACATGCATGCATCGCTTACACTTCCTCTCCTTATGTGCCGCTGTTTTGGTTAGCAACACAGTTCAATTGAACCAAGCAGCTGCTCCCTTGTTCTCTCGTAATCACACTTACTACCATTTCTTTCCCCCAATAACAGCAGGCGTTTATTTTGAAATTGTACCACAAATGATGCCCAAGGATATCAATGGAGAGCCTGATGATTGCCGGTTTTGCAGTCCTGTATTTATTCCATTTTTGGTCCGGTCACATGACATCAGATCACATCAGACTCGAGCCTCCCTGTTGTCATTGCTGAATAAATTGGGGGGGGGGGGGGGCCGTGGCCCTCAAAAAGGGGGGGGGGGGGGACATGCTGCCTATAGATAACAGCAGGGATGCAAACATACTGTACCTCCGGTCTGTTCTGTGCAAATATACCAACAAATTGCTCCGGGTTGGGCTTGCAGCCTCGAGCCAACAGACCAGAACCCATCATCTGCGCTCGTTCGGCCACCTGAAGGGTCCAAAGACAAATGGTTGAAACGTGAGCTTGAGAATACAAACAAAAATGTCATACCTCAGTGTAGGATATCCACTGGTAGGGTTGGCCTGGCTTCCTGAAGCCAAGACATGGTGCGTTACCTAAAAAGTAACACAAACGTTCATCTACTGTTATTGGTTATTTGAGCCAGTGATCAACCACTTTTTTTTTTCCACCCCGAACAGCAGGGGTTTTTTTTTTTGTTTTGTTTTTTTGTGCATTGACTTGCGCAAGCGAAGGGTGGGTCATGTTTTTACATTGTGCGTTATTTTAAGAGGGATGTGCATTATTTTAACAGGTGTGTGTGTTCAATGTCTATATCGGATGCATCGCAACAGTTTCAGTCGAGTAGTTGTTGATTGATGGGAGTGCCACTGCTGAGAAAATACCGATAATACCGTTGAACATTCCTACCCTGTCCCAAATCATCCCATTGGTTCCTGTCTTTTTTTTTTTCTTCTTCAGCAATTAAACTGAAGAGGCTCTGAAGGTACAGATTGATTGTGGAGAGGTGATCTTATCGTCAATACATCATCCCGAATCTATATTTCTGTACCCCCCAATGTCGCAACGTCCTTTCGTCAGTTTACCCTGATGACCTGCGGGGCCCAATCACCAACTGATTTAATGTTGCAAACAACAGCAAATGTGGCTGCTGATGGGGAGCCATCGGTGCAATGATGCTGCAGGCTCAAAGAGAAGACGGGCTGATTGGTTATTGATTCATCATGCCTTGAAGAAATGGAGACAGAATAGGGTGCCCCCGTTGGCCGCAACTTAGGACTGACTGGAGATGATTGACTCTAAACTCGTTTGCAATCTAGAGACATGAGGTACGGGAAGTGGAGCTACGTCCAAAACATTTTCAACTATGTGTCATTTAGATACTTCTGAGAACCGAACAGAGTCAAGAAGGACATTTATTAAAATTCCCATTCCAGTTTCAAACATGATTGTACAATGATGACTTCATTCTAACATTCCGTGTCCCACCTGCAATCCTCAGGCCTCTCTGGAACATGTCATAAGCCGTCCTGGTGTCATCATGGTAGAACTCCAGGAGCGAGTCATCTTGAAGGAGAGCTGATCGCCTGCAGCTGGGATCCCCCTACGGCAAAACACCGCGACAGTAAGTTCCCCAAAACGACACCGAGCGGAGCCGCGGACGACGCGGCCACTAACGCACATTCACAGCGACAGATTGGGCCTGAAGGTCACAGGGAGGGCGCATGGGCCGCGGACGGGTCACCAGCCAGTATGCGGTGAGCGAGGCAAGGGCTCCGATACCCAGCAGGGACAACGAGGACAGAGAGGACAGCGAGAAAGATGAAGGCAGGGACAGCGGACACCAGTCTCCAGCCCGATCTGATTCGGAAACTTGAAGTCCCATGTTGGATCGAAGTAACTGTAACCACTCCTGGAAATTCATGGCTGACACAAAGATCGCTGCATTGGTTGCTAGACGGAAAAAAAAATAGCAATACTCACATGCATATATTCGTGATCGTCTTGCAAAGAACGACTAATATTACTGCAGCTTTTTGAAGCGCTAGAGGGCCTGGACCATGTACTGTACAGCCGTATGCCTGAGTTATACTGCCACCAGGTGGCAAAGGTGCGCACACCAGAAGGAGCAGCACAATGTGCTGGTACATTGAAGTGAAGCCAAAAAAATGGGGCAAAAACCGCCTGGCAGAGTAATTCAAAACAATTTTGTGGCAGTTATTAAGGCTACAAGATATTGACGATTCACTTTTGCGGAAGTCGTTCCTGTTAATTCCCACCTATAAATAAATCAATTAATTCTCACACTTTGAAGAAGTTTCCAATGTTTGAAATATGAGTGACATTTTGCAACCCTAAAGTCAAACGTTTTTTTTTTCTGAATATTTTCAAGAGAAGGCATGCTTGAATAATGACTGAATTAATTGCAGATTCAAAATGGATCATTTTTTTCCATCTTGACTCCTGATTTTTTTTTACATTGGGCTCCATTGAAAAGAAGAAGAAAGTATGCATCTTGGTTGAAGTTATTACTAAGTGACAGCTTCTGACATTGCTACTCAAAAAAATCTAGATAGCCCCTATTCAGTAAAACTGCACATTTCAGAGTAGCCTTTTATTGTGCACTTGTGCAATAATCCTGCTGCCTAATCAGTATCTTGACATGATTAGCTCGGCAAAGGAGAGGTGCGCACTAATACAGACAGGTTGGTGAACCAGCATCCTGTCATGTACATGACCACAATTCAGATGTTTTTTCTTTTTTTTAAACCCCCCCCCCAACTTTCCATCCCTATCTACTATTTGAGCTTCGGAGAGCTCATATTAGAGATGTGTTCATTTTAATTTCATTGGTGAGTGAATGAGCACACACACACACACACACACACACACACACACACACACACACAGACAACCCCTTTCTCCAACCTTTCACCCACTTTCTTTCTCTTTGACTCAGTAGGAGAGGGAAAGCTTTACAACGACTTGCCTCTGTGGACAAAGTGGTGCCCACACTCAGCTTGGCAGGATTCACAGTCGACCACAGTCCCCCCCCCACTTACATGTCCATCAGCAAGCTACAATTTACAGGCTATCTGCAGGTTCAACTTTTTCCACTGCCTGCAGAGTTGCAATTATCACCCAGCCATTTTAGAACATTTCGACTGATCTTTCAAGTGCCACTGAATGTTGTGTTCAGTGACATTAAATAATAACCGGACCGAATCAAAGGAAGACTCGACTCTGTTCTATCACCAGCAAAGAAATGTATTCTTGACTAACGACCAATCAGAACGTGGGTTGAGTTCACCCAAAAACACCAATTTCTAACCTAAAAGTGGAGAAAAGAATTTTTGTGCCCAGCAGAACAGTGACTTTGACACGTTTGTAACACCTCAAACTATAAGACCAAGATGAGAGAAAGGACTTTTGATGGCAAAATAACATCATTAATTTATATATAGATATACTGTACACCTAAGTGTATCAGTGGCTTTTTTTTCAAACGACGTTCCTCACCCAGTGAGTTGGGGAAAAAAAAATGGGACCTGATACCAGCATTACTCGTAAACGTGAAACTTTGTGGATGTTAACATGACAGGAAATGTATCAAAAATCCATGCCTGAGGGCTAGCAAAACGTCATTTGTGTATCTTTGAAGCGGCCATTTTGGGTGAATATTAAGAGCACCTGAACTGATTACTATTTTGCCGTTTTTTTAAAAGCTTTGAACAGATGCTTTCTGGATGAAGAACAACAACAACAAAAAAATGACAGTTGAAGCATCCACTCCCCCGCTCCCTCACCCTCGTATCTGACCACTATTGCCCCCCCCCCTCTTGTCACCCCATTCATAAAGACAATTGTCAAGACCTCGACAGGCACCATTGTCTCACAGCTTCGACTCGCAAGAAAACATGAGACAAAAGGCAGAGGGAAACATTTTGTCTGTTTCTTATATAAAACTGAAATGTATCTATTCAATGAACAAAACAAAACACGGTTTGACCAAGATGTGGTTTTACGTATACAGTACAGTTATATTGATCATTTAAACTTGCATTTTAATGTGCTGCCGTTTCTGCTACAGTGGCACTTCAGAAGGGCGTAAAATTTGGAGTTGTATCGCAACATATTGTCGACGTGTAAATTGGGATTTGTGGTTGAGTCACTTTGCTGAAATGACGACGGGGAAAATTCATCGATTCATCAGTTAATTGTTGTGTATAGCGTTACTTTCAATGGGATGGCGGCGGGGGGGGGGGGCTCTCTTTCGGAATGTTCTGAACTTCTGTTTCATGAGTGCGGCATCGCGCAGAGGCAGCGAAGTACTTGAGAGTGAATCAACAGCGCCGATTGCGGATTCGTCCATTTTGCCATGAAGCGCCTCAACAATTAACGTCGGCAAATAATTGAAATAAAATCTGCCAATTGATTACCGCGCTAATTGTGATTGCCGCAAACCGAACTAGTCAGCATCGGAAAATGAACATGCAGTCATAAGTTTTGCCTTTTAGTGGGACATTTTGAACACATCGGAGGTCAACAAGTGCTACAGAACAGATGTGTGGTCCGCCTTGGAAGCACCACTGCATTTTTCTCCAAATATTAGAAACGCCCGTTTGTAATGCTGAACAGCTTGACATCATGATGAACAACAACCTCAATAATAAACATCGCTAAAGATTTACACTCAATTGACTGTGCCAATCCAAATTTATTCAGGAACAAAATAGTTATACCCACTCATGTAATTACAGTTAATGCAGATAGCAGAACACGACACACACACACACACACACACACACACACACACACACACACACACACACAACACACACACACACACAAAAAAAAAGCAAAGCCACAAACTTAAACCCAGACTAAATAAAACTAGCACGCTAACAATCAGCTCCCCAAACAGGGCATACACACCTTAAACTTTTTTAACTCCCCCTAAATCTGGCTTCCTTCTACTAACTATGCCGTGTTACCTTTCGTCCGAGACCGTCTGGAAATCCAGTGGAGTGCAGCCACCTCGTAAAAATGACACGAAAGCCGACCGAGCGCACCGATGACATCCTGCTTGAGCAACACAATAAAAGCCAAAGAATGCAGCTTCCAAGGCACACGCGTAAGAGCCCGAGGCAACCTGCAGGTCTGTGCACATCCGCGCATGACACCAGCCCAGAGATCAACATCGATATCACATCTGCAAGTCGTTTTAATCTGACGCATTCGCATACGGCGGAGAAGACGGTCGTGGAATAACCCGGCTGGCGGTCGTCAAACTTTGGAAGAAGACATCGGATCATCAAGTTGAACTTATTCTGAAATATATTTTAAATGCCAACCTGTTGTTAATGAAAACATTATTTTGGCTACTAAAATAATAGAGATAGCAGTTAACATCGACTTTTTCCAAGTTCAGCAAGGCCTACAAAACGCCACTCGGTGACAGTCTAACTACGTAAACACCATCCTGTGCCCAACTGACATCTTCAAGGTTGATCAGTTTAACCCTTTCAGGGACAAGCGGTGACTACAGTGGACAGCTTATCATGTTAGGTGGAGACGCGTTATCCATGCAAATGCCCTAATCCGTTCCAAGCCCATCCCAAAATTCAGACAGAAATGTTTTCTAAAGCATAAAAATGCATCAAAATATGTAACAAATGCATGTGCCAATTACATTATTGCACAATAAATGACAATTTAAATAAACAAAGAAAAAAAATGATGGTCATCGAACCTTAAACTGCATCCTCATCGTTTTTTGCCCTCTTTGTTCATGTTCTGTCTCCGAAGAGGTTTTTGCCTGGTGTTTTGTAAAGAACTGATCCAAGGACGTTTGCTTTTATTGGCTTTTAACAATCGTTCGAAAATGTCCAGAGCAAATATCAGGATAGTGAGCGATCGCCCGACTGGTGAGCACTTTTTCTGGGTGATTCGCATTTACGTAAAACTAACGGAACGCCTCATGGTTCGAGGGGCAAATGACGAGGATGCTGCATAGACACATATCTATTTATCTATCTACACACACAGACACACACGGTCGAGGTTCCTCCTAGCCAATGGGATGCCAGGATGATGCTAGGTAATAGCCAATGGCAGAGCAGCGGCAAGTATGTTGCGTTCAGGAAACTCCTGTATTTTAACCTTTCGTATCTTGAAATTTCTTTTGTAACAAGAGGCAATATTTTCCTGTTGAGGCGTTTCGTAACTTGAAAACTTCGTATGATGATATTATATTACAGAATCGAATTCGCTTGATACTTGAATCCAGTTAATAAAGTTTAACTTTTTTTTTTTAGAGCATCGCCTGTGCAGTTTGCAGATTTTTTTTGTGTGTGACAAGTACTTCTATCAGTACAAAAAACAGAGACAATAAATGTTTGCCTGACTTGAACGCCAGAGCTGCATAGTAGCTGACTGACAATGAGAGCAATCCTCGGGAAGTCCTCCCCCCTCCGCCCCGACCCAGAAAACTGCAGTTGGCAACACTGGGAGGGGGGAAGTTTTTAATGGGCAAGAGCGTCGGCAACCCAAGGACAAGCTGGAGAAACGAATTCCGCGCTCCGTGCACCCGCAGCATAGCGTGGCCGAGGGGGGGGATGAGGTCGACGGTTCGAGGGGACAAGTGAAGCTGGCTAGTGCAGTGGAGGAACAGAAAAAAACAGGAGAAAGAATGGAACGCTACGTGTTTTGTAACTGCCGTTCCCCGATGAAGCGTGAAAAAACAGACACATTCGGGCAAGTTTGTCTCTCTGAGAAGGGAAGACTGATTGACTGGTGAAACAGAAAAAAAATTCCTGCATCCAGAGAAGACGCTCCACTGTGAGCAGGAGTTATTTTTCCCTCCTGATGTGATCTGGGGTTTGGAAACTAGCAATGTTCATTAAAAGCTGTGATTTTAAGAAAAGAAAAAAACAAAAACAGGAGTTACTTATCAAAAGCACTAAGATTGGTTATCAAGACTGCTATGCTGCTGTACTGTACATTCAAACGTTAATGTCTTACACAAACTAAAAAACTGATTTTACCCCCAAATCTCAATTGAGCACCTGCAGAGTGAACTTAGCCTTTGTTCATTTGTTCATTTCCGCATCGCTGAGAGAGAGCGCTTGTCTCTTTTGAATTTCATCCATGTCCATCCTCTCATATTCCCATTAAGATGCCAGTTCTAAAAGTAGATGTAAGTTTACAAGGCTTATATGCATGTTTAGCATGCATTATTATGATGTTGCTACCCAAATTAGTATGTTTATTCGTCAACAAAATTTCGTCATGACAGAGGGCTTTTCTCCTTTGAAGTGCATCCATGTTCATCCTCTCATAGCCTAAGATCTCATTTCTGTTGATAATAATGCTTTTAGTTTATTATCTCTATTTTTCCCTCTGGATAATTGTGCTTTAGTCTTTAATCCATTTAATATTTTTGTCATTTTTAACAGGTAAAAATTAAATATTTATCAATGTTGGCTATACTTATATCGTGGTAAAAGTGCATCCATGTTCATCCTCTCATAGCCTAAGATCTCATTTCTGTTGATAATAATGTTTTGAGTTTATTATCTCTATTTTTTCCTCTGGATAGCTGTGCTTTATTCTTTATTCCATTTAATATTTTTCTTATTTTTAACAGGTAAAAATTAAATATTCATCAATATTGGCTATACTTATATCGTGGTAATTTTTTTAAGCATTATCGCCCAGCCCTATTTGCCAATTTCATACTGTCATGCTTAAACAGTTAACAGTAATAAATTACACAGGTTCCTGTATCATTTTTCTCTAATCTATTTGAAACTTTAATTCTGGATTGCAAAGTGACTGTTGTGCCTTTTCTCAGAAATAAACTGCCGTAGTCTTTTTTTTTTTTTAATAATTTGTCATTGATTTAATTGGAATGTGATCTATCAAACGTACTCGTTATTTGTTCCTACACAGATTTGAGTACTCGAACTGGTCTGCAAAAAGTGGTACAGTTTTCCAACTGCAGCGCCTCACACAAATCCGAACGACATTGCAAAGTGACTGTTGTGCCTTTTCTCAGAAATAAACTGCCGTAGTCTTTTTTTTTTTTTAATAATTTGTCATTGATTTAATTGGAATGTGATCTATCAAACGTACTCGTTATTTGTTCCTACACAGATTTGAGTACTCGAACTGGTATTAGTCTGTAAAAAGTGGAACAGTTTTCCTATTGCAGCGCCTCACACGAATCCGAATTTAGTAATTGACAAATTGCGAAATGACGACCTTTCTGGCTATGGCGGTGCCAATCAAAATGGCAGACAAGCTCTTTGTAACGGATGCCGCTGGCTCGTGCAGGTGTACTTAATGTGGAAATACGTCGCAAAAGTCGAACGGTCACATATGTGGTTTTCGATCAAACGAACCGACGAAAGGCAATGCGATAGTTAAAAAATAATAATAAAATAAAAAAAAGCTTGGAAACACGAGAGGAAAGTTCGTTCATCATCCATTGTGACTTTCCAGTCTGAGCAGGCGATGAAGGCCACAAAGCGCAATCTTTACCAAACATTAGTGAAATCTCATAACAAGAAGAAAAGATATTACGCATGGAGGACAAAAGTAAATCACCTGTTATCTTCGAACTCCGCGCTTGATGGCTTCGCGCTCCAAAACTACTTCACCGTTCATCCATCGGAATCTGCTCACTCCAAATGTTTGCGCTGATTATCAACTGTTTCCTGTGGCAACTTTCAAATCAAAAGCTCAATTAACTCGCGTTGGCGAAAAGGTCTTTTGAAAATAAAATACTTTATTTGGTGAGTAAAATATAATTTCTTTAATCAATGAAATGTGAAATTTCGGAATTTCCCTGCTAAAGCTGCTGCCCCCGCGACCCGGCCCCGGATGAGCGGTAGAAGATAGATTGGATGGATGGATGTGAAATCTGAGACAAGTTTACGGAATTCTGATTTTATTCTCAGAATACTGACTGTGAGAATTCTCACATTAAAGTCTGAATTCTGTGAATAAAGTCAGAATTCCGACTTTAAAGTCAGAATTCGGAGACAAAAGTGAATTCTTGCCAACGTTGTTTTTTCTTCATTGGTCCTAATCCTCTTCCGTAGAAATAATTGCATTTCAATATAAGAAATAAAAGCTGTCTTCAAATAATTAAATCAAAATGTACTGCACATAAAAGCTGAATAACAATTGCACCTCAATATATATTAAAACAATCACTTCTCAAAAACTAAATGCGATGTACAGTACAGTATTGAGATGAATTCACCTTCACTGGATGTGGACAGTGATTATTTTGTTTACCACAAGAGGGAACCCACATACCACAACCCACTTAAGAGAATCCTACACTTAACTTTGTGGTCGTGACACTAGCATAGTACATGTAAATCTTTAATTTTTTTTATTGTAACCAGTATAGACCCAAGTCCATCCTTGATTTTATTTTCATTTGCTGAATAGTTTCAAGCGGTTACTTTCTTACCATGCCTGTTTGAATCAACAGCTGATTGGCTATACGTTTGACGCAATTCACTTTTGAGCAACGACGTAATAAAATTACAACCTTTCAAAAATGTTAAATTATGAGTTTTTCCCATTCAACGACATAATTTATTTTATTTATCTTGAAATCCAAATGAAAAGACTTCCTGTTCTTTCATTCTTACATTTTTGATTCTCCAAAGGATTTTGCCAAGCTACAAGAAACGGTTCCAATTAAAAACTCAGAATGTGGAGCTGGAGTTGTTTATTGCATCCGACTGCGATGACATCACAAATATGTGTGTGTGTGTGTGTGTGTGTGTGTGTGTGTGTGTGTGTGTGTGTGTGTGTGTTTGTTTGTTTTTAACAAAAGAATGAAACGTGCTCATTGGAGACAACCATGTGTTCCTTATCAAACATAATCTGGTGATAATATAAAATATATGTTTTTCCTGGCAGTGAGTGAATTGTTCTTGACGATTAGACCCCCCGCCCCCCCCCAAAAAAAAGTTCATCCATCATCAGAAGTCCTGCCATGTTGTGCATAGCTCGGCTGCATCTCCTCTATAGTGAGCACATGTACCGCTGCTATTCCAAGTGTGTTTAACCTTAAAGACAAAGCAACACACAAAAAAATTAGGACAAAATATTACACACCCCCCGCCCAAAAAAAAAAAAAAAAAAAAGAATGCTTACTTTGGGGCTGAGCGGTGGACTTAACATTCTTTTACTTAGTCCATCCCAGTTGAATCCTTCAAACCATCTGATGAAAGACAGGACAGTGTTTTTCAAGTACATCATTTAAAATGTACTAAGCAGAGAGGTGGGTAGAGTAGCCAAAAATTGTATTCAAGTAAGAGTATTGTTACATAGAAAAAAAATGAGTGAAGTAAAAAAAAAAAAAAAAAAGGTTAAAAATGGACCTCCAAATAATTACTTAAACAAGCTGTGAATATACTCAGTAATTGGTGAGTAGCATCGTATTTTTTTTTTAATCAGAGCATGTTTTTACAACATAATGGAAATAATGAAAATCAGATCACAAGGCACCACTCTACTCTGACTCTCAGGCTTGCGTCTGGCACAATATAACCTGTAGTCTTACTTGTGCTTCTGAATGTCCTTGGCCCCGTTTCTTCGACTGCCTAGCCTCTCCGAGGGATTGTGCCTTGGCAACGGAGCAGAGAGGACATAAAAATAAGTACACCAGCATGATTGTGTCAGTCAAGATGTAGCGCTGCATCTTTGGTGCTTTCAACACCTGCACAGCATCTTTATGAGACTGGAGGCAATCTTGCTGATTGCTTTAGGGAAGTCGATGTTATCAATGCCGCGCACGGTCTCGCTGAGGAGCCTCATCGGGTCAACGTCGTTGAACGGAATCCTGGAGACACAAGTAGTCTGTCACACGTACAGTTCAAATTCTAAAGTGGATCAGCCCTGAGGTTTAACAAATCAGAATTTGACCAACATTGATCACTGGTGGTGTAAAATAGCCCTTGTTGTATAAAACAGGCCCTAAGAGTCGGCTAAAATCACATAGAATATATAGTTAGTTAGAAATCACTTTTTTTCCCCCCCACATGATTTTGATCATCTTTTTGTCATAATTGTTGAAATATTTTATTATCACAGAAGCTGTATATCTCAAAAGGGACCTGAGTAACGAACAGAAATGACATTATGATAACTGCTTCAACCTTAGGTAAGTCCTGTCTTCTAGTATGAATATATTTCTTTTTGAAATATTTTCAAATGTAATGGAGTGTGTCACCCAAACCAATGCAAACCCATCAGCAAAAGAAATATTCGTATAAAAGTTCTTCTTTTCTTTTTTTTTTTTAACTCATGCCAGTTAACAAAAAAAAACGTTTCTTTGTTTTTTTTTTGTTTTGTTTTTTGGGGATGGTTTTTGGATGATGGTCTGGCCCACTCAACAAAAGGGAAGTTGACAAGTTTAGGGGAACAGATAGCGTATTGTTCCACTCGGTTTCAACCGCATAAGATACTAATAAAGTAATGTGTGAAACTCACCCACCAGTCAGGAGCTCAAACACAAAAACACCCAAAGACCAAAAGTCTGCAGCTACACTGTGGCCTTTGTTGAAGATGACTTCAGGGGCCATGTAGCCTGGAGTGCCACAGAAGGTGTATGTCTTTTTACCCACTTCAATCTTCTTCAAACATTTGGAGCCAACCTGAGGTTGACAAATAAGGACAGTCACACTCAGAAGAATGCGAATGAACTACGTACTACTAATCAGCTAGCTTGCGCGGCGGCGTAAGAAAATGTCATTATGCACCACAGGAGGACAAGCTCAGTGACTGCCTTAATGGCTGTTTTCATTTAATTGTTTTATATTTATGGCTAGAATTGGACAAATACAAATATTTATTGGTATTACAACTTTATAGTCGGGACTGCGCCCTTCCGTGAAGAGTGGCAAAAAAGTGTAGATAGCTAGCTAGCTCATGTCTTTTTTTTTTTTTT